ATTATCATCTTATAGATCTATCAGTTACCTGATATATATAATGTTTAATTTAAATCTTAGCAAACATAGACTATTACAAACAATAATAAATCTCTGAATAAAAACGATCAAAACAGTTTTACTACCTAGGAATCTAACAGCCTCACAATTAAATACTGAGAATTCTACAAATACTCCACACATTATGACTTATTTTACTGAGATCCATATAAAGCTACATTAATTAGATAACTAGGTATATATATTTGGCAAATACTTCTCCATTTCTTTAATTTTGTAGAAGCCCCGATTATTAAGGGGCAACGGTGTATTTATAAGTTCCACAACATCTCCAGCATTGTACCAGATTTTATCAGGCTTGTCAGGCCATCTGAAAGAATTTCCAGTTGATAATATCATGGTACTTACTTCATACAGGTTATGGTCAACATCCTCAGTTTTTCCAGGAAAATATTCTCCCTCATACTTGACTATGACAAATTGTCCTTTAGAAACTACCAGGCCAGAGTTTGTATTTGCTGTTAAGCTGCTTAAAGGTTCATCATCAGAATCTGTATCACTTTTATTGCATTTCAGAGTTTTTCGAGTAGATTTTATACCTTGCTTCGTAAAGGAGATTTTGCGCCTTTTTGATGGTTGTGGATCCTGAGGTTTTTCTCTATTTTTATCAGAATTACTTAAAACACTATCATCACTTTCAGCGTATACAATATCTGTATCTGTGTCTTCAGACGAAGTGACCTCGCGATGTTTAGTCTTCGGTTTAGATTTAGATTTTCCTTTTTTCTCAGTAATATTTTGTTCTTTTAATATTTTTTTTTGCTGTCTTTCTAAGGCTCTCTTTTCTTTTTCTTCTTGTAGCTTCTGTTTTTCTATTTCTTTTTTTCTGTGATATTCTTGCCAAGATTTACTAGTCACTGCAAACGGTATTTTCTCTTTTTTCTTTTTTTTTTCCTTCGGTTCTTCGGGCCAAAAAAGACTTTTCTTAAAAGGTGATGGAACCACTACACCTAAAGCAGCTTCTAAAGGATGTTTCTGAGGAGTTACGCCTGGTACAGGGACTCTGGCAGTAGTTTCTGGCGCACTCTCGGGTGTTGCTGATGGGCTTTCCGTGTTATTAGTTCTAATTTCAGTGTATTCTAGTGGTTTGAGAGATGATGTTTTCTGAGATTCCAACAGCAGAGAACCCTCCGTGGTTAAAATAGCCGTCGAATTAGGACGTTGCACTTCACTTTCTGTGTTATCTGGAGCAGCTTCAGATGTGGAGAGCTGATTCTCTATTGAATCTATTTGGGGAACACCCCAAATAGTTTCAGTATTAAACGACTCTTGTTTGTTTTTGGCCCAGATAACAAACAACGATTCATCTTCACTTGGTATGTTCTGTTCAACGGTGCTCCTGTCTTTGAGATATAATGAGTTGAACAAGTCTAACTTTTGTCTCGAATAAACAGCAACTATCTCAGCTTCCAAGTATTTCACAAATTCTATTTGCTTTGGGTCCACTTCCTTTTCAATAATATGTGTATGTTTTTTTTTAATTTTACTCATATCAATGTAGTCTGGTCCGAAAGGGTGCAAACCTCCAGCTCTGAACCCATTCCGAATGCATTCTTCTGATATTGTGCTAATGGCGTCTTTTAGCACAGGTGCAAAGTGATCTTTTTTCAGGACTTTACCCAAATTATTCAGTTGCCACTTAGAAACTTCTTTTCTCCAGGCCACTTTCAAAGGGCGAAAGACTGCTAAATCCATTGGTTGAAGGATATGGGTTGAGTTGGGGTACAGAGCAATGAGCTCTATGCCGTTTGCGGAGCAAAAATCTGACAGATGTAATGTTAAATGTGATCTGTGGCCATCTAAAAAGAACAGGACAGGTTTTGGTATCTTTTGCTCCTCTAGCCATGGATTGAAAATATTTGTGATATACTCGTAGAATGTGCTTCCACACATCCACCCTGATTCAGATTTCCCTATGCCCCAATCTTCAGGAACAGTGGCTGTTATGTGCGCTGGCAGTCTTTCATACTTGAAGACTATCATTGGTGGTGCTAATTGACCGGTGGCATTGGCAGTGAGTAAAACAGTTAGGTTGTCTTTTTCATCGCCGCAGAATTGGTACAGATGCTTTTCTGCTTGTTTACAAAGAACTCGGCCTGCTTTTGGTGACAAAAAAAATGCGCTTTCGTCGGTGTTAAATATCCGGCTGGGTTCATCTAAAACGTCTTTTAAACCTATACCTTCTATGTATGTCGTTATTTCATCGAACCATTTGCGAATGCCTTCTTCGGTAACGTCATCCCTCGACTTCGAAAGATTTTGTGCTGTTTTTTCTGTTATATCTGGATGTCGTTTTAAAAATGATGAAAACCACTTTGGCTTGATGAAAACAGAATTAGCCTTCCCTTGATCTAATATAATTTTTTGCACGCTCTCTGTTAATAATTGTCTATTTATGGGAAAGTGCTTTTCACTCATTGCGACCAACCATTTTACCAGAATGTGCTCTTCTTCTGGCGTGAGGATAGTTTGGGGCCCCATAGCACAAACTGCAGGACTTTTGCCTGTCACCTTGTTGTGCAAGGTTATTCGAGGAACCCCAAACCGGAGGGCAGCTGTGCTTATCTTTTCTCCCATCCTTACAGCATCCAATGCTCTCCCCATTTGTTCGGGGGTGTAATTTTTCTTTGGTGCCATCTAAGACAAAACAAAGGACCAATTATGGACAGCTAAAAATACCCAGTTATGGACATTGTCCATTATTGGAAAATAAAGAGCAATCACAAAATCAACTCAACCCAAATGTTTAGTGCATCAAATTAAACATTTAAATACAATAAACTAAATAAGTAATAAAAAACTTAAGCATGGACACTTGTCCATTACTGAATTTCATAAAATATCGAATCCAGTAATGAACAAACGTCACAAAAAACTTATGGCTGTGATTGGACATTTTCAACTTAGCTCAATTTACTTGCTATATAGTATTATTCAGTAAAAATAACATCAAATCTCATTACAACACAACACAAGATAACACCATGCACAAATATGTACTCACCTCCTTAACGATTTCAACAGTAAAAACGGATTTTTAAGACCACCGCGCGCAACGAGATTTCACTTTGCAGCCATCTTAGAACAAAATGGCCGATTTTGGTGACGTGTGTCAAAATGACAGCTCAAACGTCTATTGGTTATGCTTTAGTGTTGCCAGTTGAAAAATGTTTCGTCAGTTGCTTAATAAATACAATCAACGAAAAAAATGTCCATAATTGGTGTCGTGTTCATTACTGGTGCCGTCACCCTACCAACGGCAACAACTTCTGAGTCGCGCTAACGTTACGTTTTTATAAAAAGTATATAAGCACTTGAAATGCCCGGCGGTTATACTGCATCACCCCATGGGTTGATCAGTCGTCGGTGCCAGTACACTGCAACGCAGCGCCCTGCAGTCTGCACTGCTGGGGTACCGGCCTTCTCAATGCATGGCATAGGGAGAATGGGCGTATGCTGGCTGCAGATGCAGCCGGGACCGACGGCTTTATGTACCTTCCGAAGCACGGAGGAGCTCGAGATAATAAGTTTTTGGCCCTCCATCCAGTTATTGCGAACGTTGCTTAATTTCCACAATCGCAGACCGAATACACTAGCCACCTGCGCCATCGAGGATACGAAGGGATAAAAGCGAACGTACCTACCTAAGTAAAATTCAAGATCGATTGTTTTTTAAATCAGAAACGAAAAGTCCGTACATGGTCCGTACTTTGTGAATACTTAAGAAAGTTTAAATTGCTTTATGGATTTTGAGATAGAGTGGTGGCTAAAATCTACCCCCATTTCTACGATCGCCGCCTGAGTACAAAGTCCAAGATTATGTTGTTCCAACGGTATAACGTTATTACAATAAATATATGCTAATAAAATTAGGTGGCGATCAGAGGTGGCCTTGGTAGCGCTGCTAGGCTGACTCATTAATTGTGTATGGTCTGTCTTTATTAGACTCTAACAAATTGATGTAGATAATACGATTCATTTGTGAGTGCACTTGTCCTCTAGCGCATTATGCGTAATTTTAAACTATACACTAGTTTAAAATAACGCAGCGCCGCATCATCCCCCTCTCAGGGAATGATCGCTTCAGATGAAGTTTGTAAGGCCCTTCTGGCCATAAGCATGATTAACGGGTTTTTTTGTCAGTAAGAGTCTGACATAACCCTACAGCCGGCTGTAAGGTATCCATAAAGATTTCTCACCCGCTCCCCCGCCTGGGAGGAAAAAAGTTAATAAAATGTTCATTCCACACTGAACGCTCGTCGTCTTTGCTTCCGTGAATCACCCACACCCCATACTTTTTTCCTATCAAATATATTTACGAAACTTTAACCTCTAAAAATATAGTAGATGGCAAATTATGGGGAAAAAAATTTTTACTTTATTTTTAAAATTAATATATTTTTGCTGCTTTATGCCTTAATAATTAAGATTCTATATTTAAGAAAGTTTTTACTGGCAAAAGTCTGCATTAAGTAAAATATAGTAGGTAGTTTCGCCAATATATATTTTTTTAGAAATAGAGTATTTGTTCCCCTATGTAGTAGGATACCATATTATATAGTAGGGTTTGCAAACCTTCCTATGGACCAATTGTTCCAAGATCGTAGTTAATCCCATGTATTTGCTCCTCAAATATCATGGAAACTAAACTTTGTAAGTGCGTAAGTATTTTAGATCTTTTCGTTATTAGTTATAAGGATTGGATAAGTCCAATCCTACTAGTATTATAAATGTGATAGTTTGTGTTTGTATGTTTGTTACTTAATCACGAAAACGGCTGGACGGATTTGGATGGTATTTGGCACCCGTATAGTTTATTCCCTAGTTGACACATAGGTTGAGACATAGGAAACTTTTTATTAAAACGAAAATAGGTTCCTGAGGGATTTTCATAAATCCAATTTAACCCGGGTAATAAAATATTTCTCAAAAATAAAACATGTCTTTACAAGCATATCATATATTTTTTTATAATAATTAAGAATAAATTCTTACATCACGATTTATAAAATAAATACATTTATTGCCTTAAATTAAGTCCAAAAGTACTCTGTACAATTATTGTTAGCGATCTACAAACGAGAACGACAAGTAAAAATATCCAAAAAACAAAAAAAAAATTAAAAAAGGGCCTTATCGTGAGTCAGTAAGTTCCACAATTCTCTGTGTGACATATCTACGAACAACTTAACAAATTGTGTCAAGAATCACAACCAATAGTTTGCATCTTAATTTCATCTCTTATCAAATATTACACAAACTATTTTATATCATTGCTCTTCGCTTAACCTAAAACAAGAACCATTCTTTACCTTACAATTATAATTACAATTAAATTAAGACTATCTAATTGCTAGCGGGTGTTTTTATTCTGGACTTGTGTGCTGTTTATCCACGAATTGCCACGCCCTTCGTAATCTCGAGAATATAGTTTTGGCGGTCTGCGTGCGGCCCAAAGCCCGCCAATTGCTTGATCCGTTCCTTCGGTACTGTACAAGTTTTGATCTGCGCAATAACGGTGGCCGCACTAGACCGCGGCAAACTTATAACCGGCAGCAGTTAACACTTGCTAGAGTAATAGAAATATCTGCCAATTTGACATTATCATTAAGGAAAAAACAAGAAAACTTCCAACACACTAGCAGGTAAAGAAAGGTAGGATTAACAGAAACGCGCGGGCTCGCGTCAAATGGGCAGTAATTCTATGTCGACTCGAGCAGTCAGTACGAGTACTGTGCTGGCGTCTTCGCCGGGGTTATTTTTTTAAAATTGCTTTCAAACAAGGCATTACAAATCGAAGGCCACTGCGACATCCAAGTGCGACTACTAGCCTAGCATATTAATATGCCCTATGTACTACGACGTAACGTAAACAATAGTGTTGCGTTTGCAAATTGGCATTGTTCGTACAGATTCAATAGACAACAATAAATTAAATAGATAGTTTACAATATCACGAAATTAAATTCATGTGGCAAATAATATGGCATCAGATTTTAAGTACGTTCTTTTTTTCTCACATTAGTTTAAAAGTATAGACCTATAAGAAGTCGCGAACCTAGAACCCTCTGTCTCGCAAACACACACGCGGTGTTACCACTTATTGCATTACTTTAAGGTATTGGAAGACAGAAATAACATTGCTATCAGATCGTGAAACTGAAGAACATTAAAATTAAATATAATAGTTGATAAGACGGTTACATGTTAATTTCAAGTCGTACTGGCCGTAAACGCCAAAAAAAAACATTATATTAGACCAATTTAACTAATTAGATTTAATTAATCTAAAACTAAAAAAATGGACATTGTATTATTATTAAAATTATGTACTTCTGCATATATATTAAACAAAAAAATACCGAACAGCGGATTCAAACGTAAGGTTTACACATTTAACACAGGAATTGGGCTCCATTAATTTCAAAATTGACTAGATATCTGTGTGCATAGGAATCGTACATAAAAAAATAGCTAAGTAAAGGAACCGATACACTGATACTCTGGCATGTCTGCACGTAAAAAACAAAAAAAAAAACCATCTACATACTAATTTATTGCCATACAAGCAAAAAAAAATACAAATACGTCTAAAACTGTACTTCTGTTCAAAACATCGACGTCGCGACGTCTAATAAAAAATCTCTTCGTACGATTTGTACAAAACACACACCCCCCCGCAATTAACAAACGAGAAACAAACCTTTACAGTTCCGCCGTATTTTGTCACTGGTCATCGAATCGCAATTGTCATTTGAGTAACCGAACCGAACAAAACGTTGCACAACAGCTACAGTTTCAAACTCTTCGTTAATAAACAAGGGGGGGATAAAGTCCTCGGTTTAGCGGGTTTGGGATTTGGGGATAGAGGGATCACGGGCTGAGTCACTAACATAATATTCGATCTTGCGTCACTGGGTGGTCGGTTAAGTACGTCCTTGGTGAGAGTTCATAGTTCACTCGGCATCACTTGGGCGGCTGATAGGGCGGATAGCCCTGCGGCGCCCTGCTTCCCGTCGCGTACAATTGTTGCTGGAAATTGTGGAACTGCGCCGCGTAATTGGGGTCCGCCGTTGATGGTACTGCAAAGCCCTGGCCCTTGAAACCGGGCCCGGGACCGCCCATCGAAGGGGGGAGAGGCTGTCCCGCCATCCGGACTTGGCCCATTCCCGATTTCACTCCTCTGAAGTTAGGTCCGCACATGGGGTTGGGTTGGAAAGGGTCTGCCATTTTCGGGGGAGAATTGAAGCCGGCCGGGTAATGCATTCTTAGCATTCCTGGGGGCCTCATGACGCCCCGCATGCTGTTCTCATCCATGCCTCTGGGGAAGTATTGCACTCCTTTCCCCTCCATTTGCATTGGATTCGTGACGCGTTGCAAAAAGTCTAAACTGGGGGGTCCCCTGGGGCCGGAATTGCAGGCCATTTGCGGCCTCGTAGGCAGGTATTGGATTGTGTTCGGGGCACTGGCTTTCACTTGGACGTTGGCTCCGTTGAATGGGGGCATTTTCCCGGGGCCGGGGGGCATCCGGGGCCCCATGATGGCGGGGTCGGGCCCCATGGGTCCCATCGGCCCGCCCATGGGGCCCGACATCTTGGGGCTGAGGTTCATGTCAGGAGGGAAATCTCCACCACCCATCATTCCTTCCATGGGGCCTCCCATGCCGGGACCACCCATGTTGTCCATATGGCAGCCTGGAAATGTAAAACACGTTTTAATATACTGATAAACGAACATAAGCGACTTTGGTAAGCCATAAACGAAAAATAAAAAGCTTTAAATTTTTGTTTTTGGAATGTTCGAAATTCGTATTATAGATAATTTATAACTGGAAGCCAAGTTACAGTTACATTTTTAAGATATTTTTTATCAATCTTTCTGTAATTATCATACACTAGAGAGGAATAATTATGATTATATCTTTCAATAAAGCAGAACAAGATCTTAATGCATACGACAAATATTTTTGTCAATTTACGCATTAAGATGTAGCTAGATAATGGTGTCAATTCCTTTGCCTTTTTAACTTAATACTTAATTTAAGATCAGTCTCTCCTTTCCATTATGTATAGAGAGAATGACAAGGATACACTGCTGTCAAATTTAAGTTTAGGTTTAGAGAATCATGGCAGAATCGACACCTATAGAGATATTGACAGCTAATCTACAAGTCTAACTATAAAAATCCACTGTCTATTTATAGTAAGCAAATAAAAGAAATTGGAAACATTCTTACGTGAGTTACCTAATTCATTCATCATCATATGAGGATGCGAATGGGGATGCATATTGTGATGGTGCTGCATATGGTGTGGGGCTCCTCCAAACGGGCCCATGGCCCCGGGCGGGCCCTGCATGGGCCCCGCTGGGCCCGGGCCCCCGACGGAGTTGGTCAGTTGCTGGGACATTTGGGCCAGCGAGGAGATCGGGTCGAAGGAGGACGACGGGGCCATTGGCCCGCCGGGGCCCTGGTTGGGATTGATGGGGATGTTGTCAGGCCGACTCATGCTGCAAGCGGTGGGGAATGGCCCGGGGAGAGTCGTGCTGTTCGGGCCCCCCGATAGCGTCGCCTGGAGGAATAAATAATTAAATAAACATTTCCAACACACACCAATTAGCCTAGCCCCAAAGTAAGCACTGTAAGGCTTGTGTTATGGGATGCTAGGGTAACGGATAGAATACAAATACAGTACATATATAACTATTTTTATATAGACATACATATTAAACATCCATGACTGGAGTACAAATGCTCGTATTCATCACACAAACATCTGCCCCCACCGGGGTTCAAACCCGGGGCCTCTCGAGTCGGCGACACCATGAAACCCGACCACGAAGGTCGTCAAAAAGGTTTAAATATATATTAATATATATATTTAAATATTTATTAAACTCACATAGCCTAAAAGAACTTTATAATACATAGACAAAATGTGGAGAACCTTGGAGCAGGCCTATGCTTGGTGGGTGTCATACGGCTGATATAGACAAGTATATTTTTGTAAAAGCATATATAAACAGTCATGACTCGAGGCCAAAAGTTCAAGTTCGACGTACAAATATTTGCCCGACCGGGATTCGAACCCAGGACCTCCGAGTAGGCAACATCTTGAAACCTGTACCATGTACATGTCATAGTAGCATGTAGGTTGTCAAATCCATTAATAAATACATTATACGTCATATCATATCACCGGCCTATTGTTGGGATATACTGTACTTTCTGGGCCCAAGAGCTGAAACGTCACACTAGGTTAGGTTAGTGTCGTGACCATAACGCGCGAGTCGAGCGAGTAAAGCGAGAGTGCCGCGGCAGCGGCCGGCGATGCGCCAAAAAATAAAAATCGATGGTAGACTTTGTCAACAACAAAATGTCCAGTATCACCTTTTGGGCCCAGGAAGTACAGTTTTACCTATTATTGTCCCCACTGCTAGGGCACAAACCTTCTATATGGACGGAATGAGGAGAGAACGACCAACGGGACCGACAAATTAATGTGCCTTCCGAATCACGCAGGAGCTCGAGACTAGAAGTTGTTAACGTCCTCAATGGCAGACTGAACGCGCTAATCGTTGCGCCCTCAACCAAGCTCCTATACGTATATCGCAATGAACATAGTTATTACTATTATTATTTTTAATAGATTATAGAAAAGGAATACACCAGTAAGATGTTAACGTCGGCAGCTGTAATAGTATAAAACTGTGGCGTAGCTGCCACAGAAGTTACCGGACCAGAGACCAGAGTTACCTCAGAGTTTGGTATAGAGTCGTCCATCTCCCGTCTTGGATCATAAGATCAGTTAGACGACCGATCCTAAGATCGGTTTGTCGACTTGCTAAATATATATAGCTATCTCAGAGGTCGGTATGGAGTCGTCCATCTCCCGTCTTGGATTATAAGATCAGTTCGACGACCGATTCTAAGAACGGTTTGACGACTTGTCAGTGATAAATAGTTACCTCAGAGGTGGGTATGGAGTCGTCCATGATGATGGTGATATTCGCTTGGCTGCAGCTATTCTCAGTCTGAAAAAGATCAGTTCAACGACCGATCCTAAGATCGGTTTGTCGACTTACTAGTGGTATCATAGTAACCTCAGAGGTGGGTTTGAAGTCGTCCATGGTTCTGAACTAGCTGCAGCTGTTCTTGTTGCAGTTAGTGGAGGGGGGAGTGTAAGGCCCCTGGCTGAGAGGGCTGCCTTGGGGTATTATTGAGGCGCTCATTCTTCCTATAGTGATATCTTCGTGTTCATATAGTGGTATAGTTGTTACCTCGGAGGTGGGTATGGAGTCGTCCATGGTGCTGGTGCTGGGCTGACTGCAGCTTTCTTTTTGTAGGCAGTGGAGGGGGGAGCGTAAGGCCCCTGGCTGAGAAGGGCTGAATTGGGGGATTGTTGAAGCGCTCATTCTTCCTATAATGATATCTTCGTGTTCCTATAGTGGTATATAGTTACCTCAGAAGTGGGTATGGAGTCGTCCATGGTGTTGGTGGTGCTGGTGCTGGACTGGCTGCAGCTGTTCTTGTTGCAGGCATTGGAGGGGGGAGCGTAAGGCCCCTGGCTGAGGGGGGAGCGTTGAGGGGTTTTCGAGGCACTCTCTTGACTCGACCGGTTTGATGACGGGCTGGGTCGGGACTTCTCGTCTAGGCAATGATAAATAGAATATTTTATTTTACCGTTAAGTATTAATGGTTAGGTATGGTAATCTTTAGTTAAAAGTACAACATTTTTAGGTATAAAAGAAAAAAAGTTACTTGATCAGTACCCTTAGCACGAACCAATATCGAATTCAAATAGTTGAATTCGATCACGATACATGTCCAATGTCAAGAAGTTTCTATGGTATTAGAACATTTGGCGAATATAGCAATCGAATATTCGAATTCTATATTAGTTCGTGCTAAGGGTACTGAACCCTTCGTCAAAATTAATCGTCCGCGAATTCAATCGTAAAAATACTACGTAAGGAAAATACTACGCTGATTGATTTACAATTTCTGGGGGGGAATTTTGACGAATGATCCTTCGTTAGTCGTCACTAAAAAGTCTAAATCCTTACACTTATTGAAATTTAAAATGTTGACTTACCCTGTCCACACTTAGTGCTAGCGACTGAGGTTGGCGTCTGAGGGTTGTTGAACCCGGGACTCTGCTCGAGCGAGAACCTGCCCGCTCGCTGCTCCGATAATGACATATGGGGCTCCGGCGTGCCCGGCATCATGCTATACAAATAGTATATGTATTTTATTATAGAGGCATTAAGGTTCATAATGCTGGGGCACAAAACTTCTCAATGGATTTATTTATTTATTAAACACCATAAAACTGAGACATATACTTAGAATATATAAAGCCAGCCCGCTAGCTAGCTAGCTAGTTACGAAAGGGACATGTGAGATTTCGGCGTGGCCGGCATCACGCTATACAAATGATATATGTATTTTATTATAAAGGCATTAAGGTAAGGTTAAGGCTATACGCCCAATTATCGTCATCATTATAGCATCATACTATGTAGACTGAGTAGAAGTATCACAATTATCAATCAGCCTATTAATGTCCTCATTGCTGGGCTATATGCCTTCTCTATAAGCATTTATTAAAAGTTATTTATTTAGTCATGATTTTATAATACATACTTTCCTTTTCTACCATATAACCATTTCCACGAGAACAGAACTACCTTTTTTGTATTTTAAGCATCGTAACATTACTCATGATTGATTTCTAACCTTATTTTATTTCGCATAAAGTTCAGAATCAATAAAAAACATAAGACGTTCAAAGTCAAACAGTGATAGAATGAGGTTTAAAAATGATATTTTTTTATTTTAATACTTTGATGCAAGTGGGCCTTAAAATAAAGCAATATTCACTTACCCGGCCGGTGATTTCTGGTTGGAATTTGACTGTGGCGTCTGCCCTCCACTATTCGAAGGCGGCCCGTTGTCTTTTAACGATGTATTGGGCTGTTTCTGTATCGTCAACTCTTGACCTGCGTCCAAATACCACAACGTCACATAAACAATGTCTACCAATAACCATAGGCAAGTCGGGCACATAGAGTGATAGACGAATTAGCCATAGAGTATATGAAAGTACGTATGTTGTTAGCACATTTTCACCAACCACCACCAAAATGAGGAGAAAAACAAACAAACACACACAAAATGCTACAATGACGTAAATATTACAATAAAATACTATTTTTTATTATAACGCCATCTCTCGCTGTCATATTTAATTTTATAACACTGAGCAGTATCTTATAAGTTACGAATATGGAAAGAAATATGGAAGCGAAATTGGTTGTATAAAATGGCAAATCACACTAAAAGCTCTATTTACACAATTTTAAGAAATAGCTTCAGAAATAATAAGAACAATTTAAAAAAGAACAGGTCTTCACACCCGTATTCACGATATGACAGAAACTGATAACAAATAATTATGTACAAATCAAACTTTTGATATAAGGATGTCTAAAGGATTGCTAAGGAATTTGATGGCAGGTTTGGAGTTTCAGTGAATCGAATTGTATATCTTTGACAATATACAGGTACAGATGAGAAAATACAGCAAGCTTATCGCACAGTTATAAGCAGATAGAATAGTACCTTGATCAATTTATAGGTGAACAGGCAACTATGGAAGTCGAATCATAAACTGGCAAGACCAGTACTAAATTTAACTTTAATAATTTAACCTTGTCCTACCAGTCGCCGTGCAATCTAGTAAGGAATTTACAAAAAATATAATTTATATTATTGACCGCAAAAGCTTTTAAAAAGCGATGGAACACATGTTAATTTATTAGCGATGGAAAGGAGAGAAAATAATTTGAACATGAATAAGGGTGTTAGACCGGTGTGTTGTATGTAGGGAAAAATGCAATAGGGTATTTGACTGTATGAAAATAAAGCACCCATTGTTGGCATCTGTATTTAAAATGAATATTGGCAGCGATTTTACTATTCTAACTGAAAAAATAATTAATAAATAATTATACTATAAAAGAAACATCAATTTTATCGATTGTCACGTGACTTACAACGCGTAGGATTGGCGAAGCTTAAAATGACGTCACACATATGCACACTTCTGGTCGAAGTCACATTAATTTGTACCGTTGGACATTTTAATGGCAACCGTGTGATATCATATATAAATGCGAGAGGCCTTGTTGCCCAAAGAAACGTGTCCGCGGTATATTACAAACAGAAAATTTACTTTCGCTTTGTTACTGAAATACATAACAGGATGATAAATATCCACTTTTTATAGACTCCATATACACTATCAGTCTGTCCTTTTCATACCTTATAAAGCTGCTGTCAAGTTTACAAATAGCAAATACGAATAGCCAAGAGTGTGCCGGCATGTTTTCGAAAACTTGTCAAATACCCCATTGTTTGTATGCATCTCCAACGAAGCGTGTTACCTTCAAACTGATTGAGGTACGATATTTGCTGCGGGGACGGTACGGGCATCAAACTGGGCTCCTTGTGCGACTGTTGGTTCTTCTGTTGCTGCGCCGCCAAACATTGGAGGGTGCGCACAAACACTCCGTCATCGAGTTTCTCTAATATCTCTTTTGTGGCCAACGTTTGGTCCAACATTTGCCACGCGACACATTCCGAGTTTCATATACGACCGTTGTTATTCGTCACACGGGATTGCAAGCGTCAAGCGTTTTGCGGGGTAGGGAGGGGAAAACAAAAAATTGAATTACAACTACAGAAAAAAAAAACAAAATAACAAAACTAAATTTTTAAATCATTAAAATGAACATACTGAAAACGGTGAGATATATTGAAAGTTAAAAAAAATTAAGTGTGGTTGGGAAAATGTCTAACACATAAAAACCATGCTTAGGCTACATCTATGGCTTCCAACTGATACAAGTTACATTTATAACACCATAAAATGTTATAACGGACCTTATAATATAAAGTGACATACTACAGACCTCTTGCAATTGATTTGACAAAAGAAAATATAGAAGAAAAACAAGTTTTATATTTGCACAATTTGCAGATAATTAATTCGCTGTCGTTCTCCTTACGGATACAACAAAAATACATAAACAAATAAAATATATTTGTTTCTTAGGTTTTCACGCACATCACTCATTAAATAAAACTAGTTTTAACGGGTTGATGCACGAAACTTTATTTATTTATTGACGTTTCGCAGCCTTTTCAGGTCTGCATCGTCAGAATACTGTTTTTTATTAAATATAAATAAAAATCAGTATTCTAAACGTCAATAAATAAATAAAGTTTCGTGCATCAACCCGTTAAAACTAGCTTTATCAAATAAAATATTTCCATAAACAATTTTAGGCAACAGTTAAGATTTAAATGTTTTGTTTTCAACAAGGTCTTCATTAGAGATTTAAGTTGGAAAATTGATTTCTCTTAATGTTGATATTTTAAATGAAACTTCAAATATTGTTGATATAATTCCGGAAAGTTGTGTCTTATGAATGTTCTAAATCGTAAAAAGTGAATGAAGATTATAATAAAATTGACATTTTTAACAGGAAATACATATTTGATAAAATCGGTGATTTAATAATATTATCCCTATCCGCAAGAAAGGTCTGCGAGAACACAAAAAGACTATGTTGATGTTCCGTTATGACATTTTGCAGTGAAAAGTAACGCGCATTTAATTCTCACTCACTATCACATGCGATTCTTTATACTTACTTACCTAAGAATTTTAAAAGCATATTATTAAGTTACTGTTAGGCATTATTTGATTTTATGTATAATTACTGTTCGGATTGTAAGTGTTTGTGTTAAACGCTATATTTATATGAATATTTAGTGTGTAATACTATGTGTGTTTGTTCATAACAAAATATTAAATTTGTGACATCACATACAACTGAATTTGAAGTATTTTTTCCATTACAGTGAGTTTTGCCTACTTTAAAGTGAGTTCGTAATTTCGAGTAGTCTCCAAGTTCCAAATGATATAAAAACCGATTAGAAAATTCAATTATGTTTTAAGCTATTAGCAAGTGATAAGTGTGAAAAAAAGAGTTTCTTTGATCAAAACTGTTTTTTTTTTATTTTTTTATTTACAGTAAGATTACCCCTTATTTTAATGGGTTTTTGTTTACGAGTATTCTCCATATTCTCCTCTTTTGTACCCTCAGCACGAACCAATATCGACGTCGAATAGTTACTCTAGAACATATTGTTCAATCCTAAGTCCCCGCGCTATCTTAAGGAATGTTTTAATTTCCTTCACACTTCTAACACGTTATCTCTTTGGTCATCAGAGAATCTTACCCTCATGACTCCTGTACACAGTACAACTTTTTACAGTCACTCATTTACAGTTCGAGCCGTTCAGCTATAAGGCCGCCCATTGTAACACTAAATTTAAATGGCTTTGTATTTATTGTAATATATAATGTGGTGTTCAATAAAGTGTTTGTATTGTATTGTCGAATAGTTGAATTCGATCTCGATACGCGTCAAATGTTTTGTATGGAAATTTGAACAGCGTCACAACGGACTTAACAAGAATCAAAATCTTCCATACAAAACTTCTTGACATTTGACGCGTATAGAGATCAAACTCAACTATTCGAATTCGATATTGTTTCTTGCTAAGGGTACTGATAGATATAAACAATAATGATTATTAAACTGCAAGTGGCTGCTTAAGTGTGATATTGGAAACGCTTATCTTTCTCATGCTATGACTAGCGGCCGCCCGCGACTTCATACGCGTGGAATCACTTAGAAATAAAGGTTCACTGCTCATTAACCGAGTTCTTAATAATATTCGTGCTAAATTTGAAGTAAATCCATGCAGTATTTTTTGAGTTTATCCCGGACATACATACAGACAAAAAATCTAAAAACTATATTTTTGGCTTCGGTATCGATTGTAGATCACACACCAAGTATTCTTTAAAAGAAAATATTCAATGTACAGTTTTGACTTTCCTACCATTTTATTATATGTATAGATTGTGTGTGTTGTATACATATGTACGCACCTGGAGCGTCCTGTTTCGTTTGCGGCGGTTTGCAGTGAGACTGCGCGGGGCTACTGAGGCCGGAGTTGGCTCGCGACGCGTCCGCCGACATCGGCATTTGGACTGAGCCGTGACCGGGGGACTGCGTCGCTGTATATGGACATCGGTATTGATAGCCAATCAATTAACTCAAACCACCTTATTTTAATAAACGAGGAATAAGCGTAGACTAGTTACGCCATGTTTTGTTCATGTCACTCAAATGCCATTTGTCATTCAATGAACAGAGACAAAACATAGAGTAACTAATCCAAGCTTATTCTTTGTTTATCAATAAGGGTCTTAGCCAACGCTGACAAAGGGCTTTCGTCCACCGAAATAGATCGCTTGCAACTGCATCGAGTAACGCACACGACGGATTAAAAATAGCGACGACAAAAAACCGCTCCAACTACCGCGGTCACCGAGGGACCGGACAGGACAAAAGTACGCGAGTCTTCGGACAAAATAGAACTTAAGTGACAAGAGTCGGCAACGCACGCAGCCAACTTTAATCCGCGTTGCGCGCTCGAGAGTGACGGACAAAAGTCCTCCGCGGACAAAACTCGTTCGTCTACGCAGACTATAAAATTTTACTATAGATAGTGCTGTCACATTCTTTGCGTAGACATTGGAATAAGAGAACACGTCACTTGTAATGACATTAACATTTATGTTTCGTTTGCGGCGGTTTGCAGTGAAACTGCGCGGGGCTACTGAGGCCGGAGTTGGCTCACGACGCCTCAAAGCAATCAGTAGGGTATTTGTTAGTATTGAAAATAAAGTACCAATTGTTGGCATCTGTATTTATTACGAATATTAGCAGCGATTTCACTAATCTCAGAGAACAAACAATTAATGACTTTTCGAAAACATTATTAAATAAAAGTGATTTTTTTGTTCTATGGCCATTTGACCGAAAACGGCTGGGATTGGCGAAAACTAAAATGACGTCACACGCTAGAAACTTCCGGTGCTGCAAGTGACATTGCATTGTGTCGTTTTAATGACAGTCATGTGACGTCACATGCTTGTGGGACGCTATAATGTCCAGGGAAACGTTATAGCGGCCACTTAAAATAGTGTCTTTTATCTTAGTTTTTTTACTGAAATACTTAACAAAATGGTGAATATTCATATACATATATACTTTGATGGACTACGGTAAACATTAGTAAATAAGCGAGATCGTATTCTTAAACTTGCCAAATACCCCGTTGACTATAAAGCTTGATGAAGCATAATGCTGTCACATTCTTTGCGCTGACATTGGGAAAAGACAACACTTGACTTCTAATGACATAAACATTTTTTTTCGTTTGCGGCGGCTTGCAGTACGACTGCGCGGGGCTAATAACTTCACATTCTTACCTAAATATTATATTAATTTTTATAACTATTTAAATATATATACATTACCTATAGGCACAGAGGCGGATCGGTGTAACGGTGAGGCCCCGTAAGGTGGTGGGGGCAGACAACCCCCTCTTTCTGAACAGGGAGATTTCACTTGTGTACCTGAAACAAGACAATCAATGAGTCCGAGTCTCAGAGACGCCCTCTAGTTGAGCCGACCCCCTCAGGTTCGAGTGGTCTAGAGGCTCCAGACGGAGAGGAGACACCCCCGTGGGGAGATGTCATCCGCCTGGAATACCTCTAGAGGCACTCGCCAATTCTCGGCTTGAGGTCCCCTTAAGATCTCGCCGTCCCCAAATCCGGTGACGCTGTAAAGGTCATATGTAACCAACAGCATACATACTCAAAAAAAAAAAACACGTATGTAGTCACAGTCTATGGATCAATTTAAATGCTCGTTCGATTAATTCGCGCCTAAAACTTCATACAAAAAACCCTTGTCACGGTGGCGCTAACTGATGACTTAAACTTAGACCAGTATCACTTGAATAGGTTCCGCGTGACTTCTTCAAGATTATTGTACATGCGACGTTATATTTGGATGTTAGGCTTGGAACTTAATGTTGAAAATGCAAGTCGAGAGCATTAGCTATAAAAAGCACTGGTACTTTGGTCTTTTATAGGAGATGTTTTATTTGTTTATTCAACAGAAATGTACTTACTTAAAAATTATTTATACTATGTGCTAAGCTGCGATACTAAATTCGTAACATACATAACTATATACACATACTTTTTAAACTACAGCTTATAAAACATAAACATCAGATTTCATTGGTTTAACAGAATATAATAATACATAGTTATACTATGATATTAATCTGCGTTGCCAAGTCTAGATTAAAAAAAGTGATAATTTTTGTTGGTTGCTTACTTGAACTTTCAGCTGACTTTTTCAATTTAATTGTAACATATACATATCTCGGAATAAGTATGAGTGAAAGTTTTTTTTATTATTTTAAGCCCTGTTCTAATATGAATAAATGAATTTAAATAAAAAATGGACACTCAATGTTCATTTTATTCTTTACTTTTTTTTATGTTCGTAAAACTGAACATTCTTTCAACTACAATAGGGTATTTGACAAGTTTTAGAAAACGATCTCACGTTATTGACTAATGTTTATGAAGACCGTAAAAATCATATTGGATTTTGATCATTCTATTGTGTATTTCAGTAAAAATAACCAAATCAAAAACTCCATTTTCAAGTTGCCGCGAAAAAGTCTTTCTGGACAATATGGCGTCTTACTAGTGTGTGACGTTACACGACTGTAATTAAAACGTTAAACGATACAATTTAATGTCACTTTAACCGGAAGTTTACTTGCGTGTGACGTCATTTTAGGCTCCGCCAATCCCAATCGTTTTGAGTCACGTGACAATAGATAAGAAAACTATTATCTTTTAAATGGGTTTTTAGACTTTTTAGTAAAATTAGGTTTTTTTTTGTAAAAATAGTAAAACCCCTGCGAATATTCATTCTAAACACAGATGCTAACAATTGGCACTTTATTTTTAATACTGTCAAATACCCTATTACTGCTGTTTAGTGTTAGATAAAGTGCCAGGTGTAGATTTCAGTGCCGGGCTTGTGAAAAAAGTACCAAATCAAGCACTGAAAGTTCAAAGTTGGCAACACTGATAATGATTATACTACAACTCACTTAAATCGTTGTCCATCGACTTTGGGTCGTCGAAGAACTGGTTGTGGATCTTCTGCCAGTCGATGTCGGCGTTGGCGGGGCTCTTGGGGCTGCGCAGGCCCGGCTTGTGGCCCATCCCGGGGCCCACGCCCGGACCCAGCCCACCGGGGTCGCCGGGGCCCATCTGGGGGAGAAAATTCTTTATAAGGCAAACATAGACTTTTAGAGTTTTATTATATTACACTGTTAGAGTTATATTTTTATTTTCTAGACTTTTAGAGTTATATGACGAAAAAATATTTAACATTAGTTTAAGCTGGCATTTATTCGTTCCGGTTCGTGCTAAGGGTACAGTGTACTCACGTTTCTCCCACGTCCATACTCGTCACACATGGGCCCATTGACCGGCATGCCATGATGGTCAGGGCCGCATTCTCCGTGCACCATGCCTCCCATCATGTTTCCGTCCATCATAATACCGCCTGAAGACAAACATTATGGTGAGCAAAGCGATACGAAGGAAAAACATACTAAGAATAATCTATTAAACTCTGTTAAAGGAAACAACGAGTTTAGTGGAATACTTTCTTTATCACTCAATCGCTTACTAATTACAAAAGGCAAGGATAGAAATATGCGTTACTCGAGAAAGGGGGCTGTAATTGGCAGGAGTAACGACAGCAAAATTATCCGGCCAATGACAGATATGCTTAGTTTTAATTGATCCTGATTTGTTTTCGTGCATACAGTTTGGAAAAAAATCGAAACATCTGAAACTAGTTCAATTTTAGTAGAAGTTTTCTTTAGATAAATACTTAAATATATACAAAAATGATATAGACCAAGATAATAATATTGTAAAAGTTAGTTTTAGGTTAACAGACTCATACCGTAAATACTCAATAGGTTTTACTAAAAATAAAATAAATTGCGTAATAAAGATCCTTTAAACAAATGAAGTACTTTATATAGCAGTGGTTCTCAAACTTTTTAAATGACGGAACCCTTTTGGGAAGCAAAATACTTGATGGAACCCTACAATAAAACAATTATTTTTATAAGTGTATTCTATATTAATCAGCATAATAAAAGTACAATGTATCCGTTACTAATTATTATTTACTTCACCACTTGGTAAGGACAATAATAGAAAACATTAAAAAAGAAAAAATCTAACTAGTGGGAGGTATGAAACTGTTTTTTATTTTTCATCAATTGCTTGATATCAGGTTTGATGGAAGAAAGTTGGAGTCTCATATCAGCTTCGGCGTCCAGTCTATTGCGATATTTTGTTTTCGTGGCTGCGTAGGTAGAGAATCCTGTTTCGCACAAATATGTAGTTGGGAACGGGAGAAGAATATCCAGAGCCATTTGGCCAAGCATTGCATATTCATCTTGGATTCTGCACCAAAAATCATTAAGAGGCGTCGTTTTGAACAATGACTCCATACTTGTGTCTGATGACATTTCTAAAAGAGATTCATATATCTCATTTGACATGTTTTCAGGCTTTTCCAAGTTGGGTAAAAAAGGATTATGAATCCAGGAGTTCACTTTAATTTTTGTATTGTGTTCTTCGGGAAAATACTTTTCAAAAGATGCGCGCATCGAACTGAGATATTGGACCAATTCTTCAAACACATTATCTTCAAACATTTCTGAGTCGTTTTCGCTAACAAACTCAGTGAGTAACGTAAAACTTTCTATTTCTTTCTTACCAATGCAAATGATCCAAAAATCTAATTTTCTTTTAAAAGTAGTTATTTTATTATAGGCCTGAAACACTGTTGTCTGTTTACCTTGCAATGATAAATTTAATTCGTTAAGTTTTTGAAAGATATCCGCCATAAAAGACAATCGGAACAACCAAGTTTTATCATACAAACGGTCCTTCAAATTAAAAGAAGTATCTGCTGAAAGAAACATTTGTAACTCGGCTCTAAGTTCAAATAGCCTTGTTAAAGTTTTTCCCCGAGACAGCCATCGCACTTCTGTATGGAGCAGCAGTGTTTTATGTTTGCTGCCATAATCTTCACACAATAATGAGAACAATCGGGATTGTAGTGGTCGTGATTTGATAAAATTAATTATTTTTACCGCTTCATCCATAACTAATTTTAGATTAGACGGCATTTGCTTCATCGCAAGTGCTTGTCTATGCAGAATACAATGACTGGAACTACAATTAGGCGCTTTATTTTTCATTCGTGACACTGCTCCTGCTGTTTTACCTGTCATCGCCTTGGCCCCATCTGTACAAATGTCAATGCAATTGTTCCAACTGAGATTATGTTCTTCAAAAAATATATTTATTTTATTAAAAATTTCTTCCCCGGTAGTGTTTGTAAGCAGCGATGAACACATAAGCATGTCTTCTTCAAAAGAACTTTTATATGGATATCTCACAATAACCAGCAGGATAGCCAAACCAGCGACATCAGTCGACTCGTCCATTTGCAAAGCGAATCGTGTATTTTGTAGACGTGTAACTAGTTCTTGTTTGACGTAGCTTGCCAGATCATGGATTCGTCGTGAAACAGTATCGTTTGATAGCGGAACAGTAGAAAGATGCTTTGCAGATTTTTCATCAAGCATACATTTTGTTATGTCTAATACACATGGTTTTATTAATTTCTCAGCGATAGTGTGCGCTTCACCTGCTTGTGCAATGCGATAGCTAACTAAGTATGATGCCTCCGTGGCCTTTTCGTTGGTAGTTTGTGTTACATGCATCATATTTTTTTGACTTTCTAATAACTGATCTTTTTTGCGAACAAAAAATTCTTTATTCTTGTCTTTAGTCTCGGGGTGTACGGTTTCTAAATGTCGACGCAATTTGGCAGGTGCCATGGAACTATTAGGAAGCAGTTTACTACAGAGCATGCAGAGAGGTGAGCCGTTGGAATCAACAAATCCGAAACTGATATAAGATTCATCATACTTCCTTTTTTTCGTCTTTGAAACCGTCGAGCTTGACGTCGTGGCACTCGTGGCATCATCTTCTGGATCGGTGATTGCTAAATTCTCCGCGCGCATTGCTTTTGAACATTCAGCGTCATTAGAAGATGTTGTTGGAACACGTTTAACACCTTTAAGCCAACGTTCCATTCTTCTTTATTTATAATGTTACAAGTCAGGATAGTGGGGTTTAAATAATGCACAATCGTTACTGCGTATAAGAGACTAAATTTAGAACCTACAGGGAAGAAATGTATAAAACTGAGACAACAGAATACAGCAGGCAGTAAAACAATGAACACCAGTTTCTCGCTAGCGAGCTTGTAAGTAGGTAGTAACTTATCGCTCCGAACGCTAATCATCAACTGACGACGCCAACGCGCGATCGCCGCTTTTATACTTAGTCCTAGACTCGATCTCAAATATTCTCGAAAATACTCGAGTCGGCACTTTTGATAAACAAAAAGCAAAAATAAAAACAGAAATTTAAAAATAGCGTTGTAAACAATATCGACTTTATCCTTTGAAGTTAGAGACGAAAGTCGCTAGTTGACAACTATAGCGTCTAATTCAGAGGCGGCTTTTATCAAAGAGACTGAGCGCTTACAAGTATACTACCCGCTCGTTTTAAGTTTGCCGCTGGCGATAGGTATGAGTGTATGACGTTCGAAATTTTTTATTTAATTGTAACAATAAAAATTGTGTACGTTAGATATTTGGGTAAAACTATGACACATTATAAGTTTTGTTGTCACGTGGGGGAGGGTACGCGCATTCCACAGACCGGCAAACTTAGAGCGAACGCGTTGTACAAGTATAAAATTGTTGAGACCAAACTTATGAGATATTGTACCAGCTAATGTAACACAAGCTTATACAAATACAAATAAATAAATAAATAACATTCATAGCGTTTTGTCTCCGCGCGGCCGCGGAGTCCGCACAGCCGCGGAGCGACCAGAGAGAGGTGTTTTGATTTTTTTATTTCTAAATTCTTGCGGAACCCCGACAGAGGTATCACGGAACCCTAGGGTTCCGCGGAACACACTTAGAGTATAGCTGTTATATAGCATTTAGAATTAAACAAGTGTTCAATTGAAATAGATTTGAAAACATTTACGACTTTATCATCATCATCATCATCACAGGCCTTCTCTATGGATGGAATTGGGAAACTGCAAATGTAGCCGGGACCAACGGCAGAGCCTTCCAAAGCACGGAGGGGCTCGAGATAACCAGATTTCGGTCACCCATCCGATGACGACCACTGCGAAAGTTGCTTAACTTCCACGGTCGTAGGCCCAACGCGCTAACCACCTGCGCCATGGAGCTCCTCATTTACGACTTAATGATAATAAATCTAATAGTATATAAAATTCTCGTGTCGCAGTGTGCGTAATTGAACTACTCCGAACGGCTCGACCGATTTTCGTAAAATTTCAACCTACTGAATATGCATATTCAGTAATTATTTGTTTTTATCTTTATGATACATCATACAAAAATACATACAACCCTAAATTTTCACCCTTCTACCACCAACCCATATTTTTTTTATGGCGGTACGAAGTTCGCTGGGACAGCTAGTATTATACATATAACTATGATTAAAGATGAGGTTACTAAAGAGACGTACCGTTCATCGCATTGAGATTAGGCCCCGGCATCATCCTGGGCCCCATGTGTGGTCCGCCCATCATGCAAGGTTTCGGACCGCCCATCCCTCCCATTGGATTCGGCATTCGCTACAAAGATAAATATAACACAAATTGAGTAATCCATACTTATATTTAAAATTAATACTTAATAATATTCTTTATTGCAAAAACAAGACACAAAACATAAACTAATAAAACAGAAGAAAGTGTACAAAAAAGGCTTATTGCTAAACAGCAATCTCTACCAGGTAACCTATGGTGGAAACGGAATAATAATAGAGAAATATTGAAGGGTGTACAAGAAATATAGTAATAGATGGTTTTATAAAAAATAAGTGTGTCTGTTACCGCTTCGCGCTTAAACCGCTGAACTGACTTATATGATATTTAAAAGGACATAAGATAGTTTTATCCCTGGCATTATCATTTAAAGGGGGATGATAATTTGTATGGGAAACCAATTAAACCACGTATACAAAGTAATTGACAAATAAAGAGTTACACAGCATACGCGACTACTGTAAGGCTAGCTCGTTTTTTTTATTTTGTAACCGTTGTTCGGATCTCGTCCTACAGAAACGCGACTACAGATCGATCACATCTTCGATTGGGTGCAAATTATTCGTAGTACAATACTAGACATGACATGAATATAAAAAAACACTGTTAACTTTTCATATCTAAACAGGAAAGAAAGTTGACGCATTCCACTCCCAGCTCATTCATTAAAAGGCCTATTTGGGAATTATCTTAACTATTAATGGGGTAAACATTTTTTTTAAACAGTTTAATAATTTAGGTAACAAACAACCAACGAAACTTTGCCATTCAATAAAAATCTTTATGTATATATATATTTGTAGTTATGTAGGTATATTTATAGATGCTACATTATAATTATTGTATTAAGTATCATGTAGTTTTATCAATTTAATATTTTTTTCTTTCACTTTTTGCTTTTATTTACTTTACCGCATAAGGTCTCTGCCTAGCCCGATGGTTGACTGGTAGAGAATGCTATGTGGCATTCAGTCCGCCATTTGTTGTAAAATAACAATAAAGAGTAAATAAAGAAATTAATCTAATAATTATGATAGTTAAAACTTACCCCCATAGGTCCACCGCATCCCCTCCCCATGTGCATATCTGTACACATACCGCCCTTCATGTCTGGACCTCCACAAGAACCCCTTATTCCTTTCATGCCGCACGGTCCCATAGGGCCCATTGGTCCATTCGGTCCCATTCCTCCCATCATGGGGCCATTGGGGCCCATCATTCCGTTCGGCCCCATGGAACCATGTCCGCCCATCATATTAGGCCCCATGCCGCCCATGGGACCACCCATGGGTCCTCCCATTGGTCCATTGGGTCCCATAGGATTCATGGGCATAGGTCCTGACATGGTGCAACTCGGTCCAGAGTTCATGCTATTTGACATGGAAACCATGGGGCCGTTTGAGCCCATAGGACCGTTTGGACCCATGGACATTGGAGGGTAAGGCATGTTCATGTTTCCTGCAGAATTAGGGGGATTAATGTCAGGGGGTTGCCCCTCCCCTGAGCCTTGCCCCCCACTTTCGGGGAATAACATTTGTTGCATTTTGCGTATTGTCGCCAGTTGCTCTTCCCTATGCGCTCTTTGTTGGGGTGTTAAGTTTTCATCGGGAATTTTAACGCCTGTGGGAAACGAAACACATTTTAATTAATTACTTTCTTTCTTGAAGAATTAGAAGTGTTTTAATGATCTGTTCAATAAACTACCTAAGTTTACATTATAATGGAGATTTATAATGGTTTCCTACTAGTAAATCACGGAGCATTCCCACTAGTCCGTAAATGTTTCGTTTGCAATCGAAATCGCCAAAGTTGACCCCGTGAGGGGAGGACACGCTGCATTTTGACTGGACACATCAACGTTTCATGACAATTTTCATTTGTAGACGGTCATATTCTCATTAAGTATTGATCCATAAGCCTGGCACAAGCGGGTGCCCTGGTTTGCGGTTTTGTCTCTAATGGAGGTGCTCGATGTATATATATACTGTACACATCTCACACGCATATAACTATATATTAGTACAATAATATAGTTTAACTATTGCCTAATACGTATAAGTAACATAAATTACTAAGCAAATTAACAACATCTTGTGGTCATTGTACATGGCAAATAGTCAACAAGGACGCACTAACCTAACCTAACCATACGACAGAGTGAAACAAACAGCTGATCCGCGTCGTGCTGTTTGCATCCATTGTTTGAACAGTATATACCTATCTTATTCAATAACTACTCTCATTTTATTGTAGATTTATTGATGTGTAAAATCTTTCCTCTCGCTTTCGAGCAATTTGTGGGAGTGATTACGTGAAGTGGGACGGAAGGGTGTAACAGGAAGTTTGTGAAGCGCGCGCTATTAAATTTGATTTTAAAACATAATGTTCAAATGGCTTATTCCTTTTGTAGAAGGTTTTATTTCTTTTTTTACTAATATAAGGTGAGGTTTCAAATGTTATAGCGACTACTGTAAGGCTCGCTCGTTTTTTTTACTATCGCTAGATTGTAATTTAAATTTCGACGTCTGTGGTGTATGGTAAAAACTCGATTGAGTTTATGTTACACCATACTTATAAACTTGTAATGTATCTGTATGATCATAATATGTTATGTAACATAATATATACGACACAAACTATATTATCACTTACCTTTCGGCCCCGTCTGGCAGGGTTGGTCAGGGGCCGGCTCGGCAGGGCCGGGCGCAGGGTCGGGGCCCGCTTCCGAGCACGGGGGCATTCCGGGCCCGTTCGACATGCCGTTCGACATTACTGAGGGGTTTTTCTATGAGACAAAACGATAATTGTATTGAGTACTCATTTATGTTTATGAAATGAATGATTAATAAAGATAGAACACAGTAGGAATATATAGTTATATTTTTATTTTTATAGCTAAAACTGAATAATGTGACGTTTTATACTAGTTAAGACTCAAGAAGTTGTTTGTCTTTATTACTAAATTGCCAGCAAAATGCTGTTTCAGAAATTAATGAGATTGAGAGATGATTATAAGTATTTTGTCCATTTCTAGGTGCAATATTTGAGATAAATTAAAACAGACACTTAGTATAATAATGAGTTTCTGCATGAGTTTTAATATGACTTAAACTTAAATAACTGGATATTAGAATTTGGGACAATATTAAAAACAATAAGTCTTTTTTTTGTCAGTGATTAAAATATTCAAATAACCAAGATAAAATACTTACGGTGTCCCAGGGCATTTCACCATCAGCACCGAGGCCGTCCATGACACCACAGGACGGGGTGCCCCCCGGAAACCCATCCATGGGGGCCATCCCCGGCCCCATCTGGCCCATCTGTCCGGGCCCACCCTTCATCATCATCATCTGATTAGGCGCACCCATTCTACTTGGCCCCATCATATTCGGCCCCATGTGCCCCATTCCATGACCCATCGGCCCCATGTTACCCCCCATTGGCACACCCATCATGTGTCCCATTTGGTTCGGGCCCCCCATCATGTTAGGCCCGCCCCTCATCCCGCCCCTGGATTTAGCCATAGCGAGATTATTGAGCCACTGCGCCGGATTCTGTTTGTTGAACTGACCCATTTTGAGAGGATGTTTCTGTAAAAATGCCTGGCGTTGATTTATTTTTTGGACTGCAAAAATCACATTTATAACACGAATTATATTTTTGGTACAAAATATAAACTGATTACATGACTAAGGTCCACTTGCAGTAATTTAGCTAAATCTTAATTTAACTAATACCAGATTTAGCCCATACAATAATGTTAAATTGATATTGACGCTTTGATATTTTTCTATGGGATAGATCTTGTTTTAGTTGAATCGAGATTTAGCACATTTGTTGGAAGTGGGCCTAAATCAGTTCTGTATTCAAATCATATTTTAATTTTTAAATTATATTTCTCATGATTTTCAGTATCTTCTGTCCATTGATTTTATGCATACCATACTTAATACAAATTGTTAAATTGCGATCATTAATTGTTCATTTCTTTCTATAGAGAAAAAGCAAAATAAAATCTCACCTCCAAATACTTCTTAGTTCCGGGTTGAGCGCAGTGATACGCTATGATTGAGTGATGCTGGCCCGACAGTACCGCGTCTGCGCCTTTGTTGGCCAGACTAGTCGAGAACACGAAGATCTGGCTTTGCTGCTAGGAGAACATAAGCGTTTTAGTATAACAATCATTATAACCAATGAAGTAAGGCTCATTTTTAATTGACAACTGAAAATAGAGTAACAAACAAGTATAAGTATTTTTATTTGGAATATTTTATTTAATAAGATAACCTATCATTGCTTTAGGGTGAAACCAGTTGAGAATTTAATGATCTCGGTCTGCTGCTAGGAGAACATAAGCGTTTTAGTATAACCAGCTTTATAGCCTATGAAGTAAGGCACATTTTTATTGGACAAGCGAAAATAGTCACTATTAAAAATCCCATCATTGCTTTAGGATGAAACCAGTTGAGAATATATTGATCTGGGTTTGCTGCTAGGAGAACAACAGCGTTTTAGTATAACCATCTTTATAACCTATGAAGTAAGGCACATTTTTAATTGACAAGCGAAAATAGAGTCACTTTAAGAAGACCATCATTGCTTTTGGATGAGACCAGCTGAAAATATAATGATCTGGGTCTGCTGCTAGGAAAACATAAGCGTTTTAGTATAACCATCTTTATAACCTATGAAGTATGGCACATTTTTAATTGACAAGAGAAAATAGAGTCACTATAAGAAGACCATCATTGCTTTAGGGTGGAACCAGTTGAGAATAAAATGATCTGGGTCTACTGCTAGGAGAACATAAGCGTTTTAGTATTTTGACGACCTCCGTAGTCCAGTGGTTTGTATGCCGGGTTTTATGGTGTAGCCGACTCGAGAGGATATAAATGTTAACAAAGTGTGTTGTAAATAAAACAAAAGACTAGTAAGAGCACAACGTCGCTTCTCATCTTAAGAGTTCTATATTATCAATGACATAACAAGACTTTTTTATAACATAATTAATTTATTGCAGTTACTATAGACCCAACTTGTAAGCAACAACTTATAGCGGTTCGTGTTATTATTATAATTGTCTTCTTCTTCTTCTTAGCATTATGAGGTCCACTGCTGGACATATGCCTCTTGCATGACTCTCCAAGAAGTTCTTGATGCGGCGGTTCTGGTCCAGGTCGGCCCTGCCGTCTTTTTAATGTCGTCCGACCATCGGGCAGGTGGTCTGCCGGCACTTCTGCTTCCTGTGCGAGGTCTCCAAAGTAGGGTTCTGTACGACCATCTGTTGTCGTCTCTTCGAGATACATGACCAGCCCATTGCCATTTAAGTCGAGCAACCCGTTTACCTATGTCGGTAACTCGGGTGCGTTGGCGAATGTCTTCGTTTCGTATTCTGTCCCTCAAAGAGACGCCAAGCATTGCACGTTCCATTGCCCTTTGCGCTACTTTCAGGCGGTGGAGTATCCCGACAGTCAGCGTCCACGTCTCACAAGCATACGTCATTACTGGGAGAACGCATTGATTATAGACGCGTGTTTTCAGTGATTGTGGGATTTTGGACTTGAATACATCTTCGAGTTTTGGCATGATGTTTTGGCCTAAGTAGGTATAATTGTTCACACATTCGATCGTTACGCCATCTATTGAAATCGTCGAACCGTCAGTGGTGCTCATCCACTTAGTCTTTTCGTGATTCATTTTCAGGCCCACTCGGAGAGACGCGTCTTTCAAATCCTTGAGCATTTTTTCAAGACCTTCTCGCGACTCACTGAGTAAGACGATATCGTCAGCGAAACGGAGGTGGTTCAAGTGCTCTCCGTCTACATTTATACCCAGATCTTTCCAGTCCACAGTTTTGAAAATATCTTCAAGGGCGTTCGTAAATAGTTTTGGAGATATCACATCACCCTGACGTACACCTCTCATTATTGGAACAGTTGTTCTGGCCCCTTGAATTTCAACTGTCATTGTGGCAGATTTATATAAGCTTCTTAGGAGCTCGATGTATCTGTAGTCGACTTTGCATCTCTGAAGTGAGTTGAATATAGCCCAGTGTTCCACCGTATCGAACGCCTTTTCATAATCCACGAAAGCAAGGTAAAGTGGTCTATTATATTCTAGTGATTTCTGTATCACTTGTCTTACCGTGAATATATTATCAGTTGTACCATAACCTTTTCTGAATCCCGCTTGTTCCCTGGGCTGCTGCTCATCTAGCCGATTTGTAATCCTAGATGTAATGATGCGTGAGAATACTTTGTACACTTGACTTAGCAGCGAGATAGGGCGGTAATTCTTAAGTTTTGTCTTGGGACCTTTCTTATGAAACAGGACAACAATACTATCAAGCCACTTGTTCGGTATGTTGCCAGTGAAAAGCGCTTCGTTATATATCCAGCGAAGTTCCTTTAGAATGGTCCGACCACCTGCTTTTAAGAGTTCCGTCGTTATGCCGTCTTCTCCTGGTGACTTATACTGCTTTAGTTGTTTTAGCGCTTGTCTGACTTCATAGATACTAATTTCAGGAATATCCTTGTTATTATAATTGTAGTCTTAACCAATTTATATAATTGCAGCAATTAAATACAAGACAATATATTATATATTTTCAACTTTAATTCCAGTAAATATAAAATGGCTGTTTTGATGGCTCTTGGTGGTGATTAGCTTGGGCATATATGTATGTTTTATTTTCAATTTAGAAACTGAGATAATCCTGGCCTGTATTGTTTTGTTACCTAATGGTAGTGTGGACTTGTTGAAAGTGACTTGATGTACAACCAACATTACAATGTTTTACTTTATAAATGTTATGCCAGACTACGTGGACTAGATTTATGTGATTACTATCTAATACTAAAGTATAGTTTAACTATGTATAAGTAGCAATTTTTGTAGTACAGTAACAACTAAGCGCAAATTCTTATGTAATGCCTTTTTAAACTAAAACAGAATATCTCTTTCGTCTCTTTAAGGACTTTTTATGCTTTATTATGCGGACATTGTTGTTGGTGTCACAATGACTAATGTAATAATGTAATGAAAAAGACTAAATTTGGTTTAATAAATAAAAAAAAATAGACAACAAGTAACTAACAACTAACTTTGTGCAAGAGTATAAAGCAACGAATTAGAAATGATATGGAATACGAACTGCGCTAAAACTGCGATCAAGTGGGCGGGATGAAAGAAAAACCGATCAATATGCCGATCATGGGATTGGTTGGGACTTCCGTTTAACCTTATCTTACCTAACGAATGGATAGCCGAATGCACTAGCAGAGATTTGATTTGTCAAGTTTGCGTGCGTGTCGCGTTAGTATTGAAGTGAAGTTCAGTTTTAGTGGCCTTTGTTAGAGAGTAATGCTTCCATATCATTTCTAATTCGTTGGCATAAGAACCAAAAAGAAACTTCGACGGATAAGTGGCCGCCTCTCACCGCGCGATATATCGTCTACCCCCTCCACGTGGCTTTTTCGTGACAGCAAAATACTAATACCCCTGCCAAAAGTCCCCCGTCTATATAGAAGTTTCACTTCAAGATCATTAACACATAAATCTTTACCTCCATACGACCAATCTGTTTACTGATCACAAAGTTCGGCCCTGGCTGGCCGACATAGGCCTCTTGGAGGTATTTATTGTTATATTGAGGACGAGTCAGGTATAACCACAAAGAATCACCAACACATAAACATCGTTACCTCCATACTGCCGGCCTGTTTGCTGATGACGTTTGACAGCAGGGTTTGGCCCTCGCTGGCCGACATGGGCCTCGTGGAGGTATTTATTGCTATATTTAGGACGAGTCAGGTATAAACACAAAGAATCACCCAACACATAAACATCGTTACCTCCATACTGCCGGCCTGTTTGCTGATTACGTTTGACGGCAGGGTTTGGGCCTCGCTGGCCGACATGGGTCCCATGGAGACACCGGGGCCCATGGGTCCACTCCCACCCCCCATGCGGCACGACCCCATCTCGGGGCCCACGTTGGGGTTGCGGCAATTCTGATTGCCGTCCTGTGGGACAATGATAAGATTCAATTTTATTTGTTTGCAAGAAAAGTGGTATAAACTGCAATCAGTGGTACATTGTTTGTTAAGACACACACTATTCACCGGAAACTGGCATACAAATTGTATAAAATAATATCTTTACAAAAGAAAGTGTCTACCCGTAAGCCGTTTAAAAAAAAAGAAAAAAAAAACATAATAGATTACTATTGTCTTTACCATAAACCCATAAACTCCTCAAGGAATAAAAACAGTTCCTAATTAACCAAGTTTTAAGTTTCCTCTTGAACGTCTTCATAGGCAAAAAGAAATGTTGCCCTTTATAAAGAAAATGAAGTTAATTTCAGAGCCATCCTGTATAGTGTCGCTTTTTCGTGATTCTTTCTTCTCCCGGGTTAAGTATAAGATTTTGCAGCTTGTAGTACTGCATTTGAAGCTAAGTCATGGATGTTTCAAAAACTACTGTTTGGATTTTGGATGAGATTTGATACGCATATATACTTTATGATCTAGAATGAGACATAGGATTCTTTTTATCCCGAGAAAATTTTAGGTCTCTGAGGTATTCTCAAAAGTCTATCAAGCGAAAAAAGTGGCCGCTAGTACTTATATATGTATTAGTACATGTCGCCTGGTCTAAACTAAAGTCAAGTATCTACATTTTGCAAATTTTACAGAAATAACGTTTTTTCTTAAAAATCAATTATATCAGCTAATAATTATCCTATTGAAGTAATTTTTTGAAATGTTAGTGTACTTTACCATTTTTAAAGTATGTCTGGTTTAACATACTTGATTTCATTTTTTTCTGTGAAATACTTGGTTTTAGCTTTATATTTTTTTGTTATAATTGAGATACTTGAATCCTTCTTTTCTTCATAGCTTCAAAACCAAAAAGTGGTGTTTTTTTAATGTAGAAATGTGCGTCTTTTGATAAGAAATCCAAGGGTGTAAAAATTAAAAATATACATAGTTTTTTCGAGATACTTGATTCTAGCTTAGTGCAGCCGATGTATTCTATACGTTACTCTAGTATCTCATAACACAAGCCTTACAGTGCTTACTTTGGAGCTAAACTAATTGGTGTGTGTATGTTAGATTTTTTTTATATAACTTGGCCTCACCTGTAGATTACTGGAGGGTCCTCTTAGGCCAGTCTGTGGGTCCAGAATATCATTGGAGTCTGAGGAGAGCCGTTCCGATTTGAGTGATCCAGGCCCTCCCAGCTCACAGGACGGAGATTTCGTGGGGTCACCTGTAAGTTGAATAGTTTATATAAAGTCTGTAAATTAACATTTTTGATGGGTATCACATAGCGCACTCTCCGTTTGAATTGGAGCACCCGTCTGGGGAAGTCACCTCCACTTTACAGAAGACTACAGTAAAATAATACCACCTTTTTGTGGTGTTGTATTTCCGTCGGTGAGTAAGGTTCCAGGACTCCAATGCAGTGTCGCGAGTGTTATTTTTTTGTATCGCAAGCGTCTATAGTCTATGGTGGCCGCTTAGCATCAGGCGGGCCATATGCTTGTTTGCCACCCTTTTAACATAAAGAAGTACACACAGGCTGACAGACAGCACTGCATATGGAGATCGGGCGTATAGCCACCACGCGGGGCAGTGTCGATTAGAGGGTTCCGCATGCAGATGTAGCTGAGACTAACAGCTACAGGTGTTTTCTGAAGCACGGAGGAGTTGAGATCATAAATTATTGGTCACCCATCCAATAACAAGCCATTACGAAAGTTGCTTACGTGCCACGATTGCAGACTGAACCGCTAAAAACTTGCAAAATTGAGAGTTTGTACACTAACCATGTTCGTGTAAATACCGAGTTTGAATAGTCGCAAGGACTACCGTTTACCGCTTGAAAGCGAAGAGTAATTCTGTTTTACTGAACACAAAAAAATATCTGCATAGTGTTATAGCAGGCACAAATTACCATCACTGTCCATGAGGCCGTCTATCTCTGTCTTGATGCCATCGACGCCCATTTCCGCGGTGTTGTCTTCGCCGGACTGGCTGTGTGGCTCCATCTTTACCCGGTGCGGGGGCTCGTCGGGCTCCTTCTTCAGAGCCGCAGGCGTTGGAAGTGACGCTGACGGCGGCCGCGAGCCATGGCCTAGTAAACATTAGGATTTAAGGTTGCGCCTTGCGGAACTCCATCACTTACGAGTCATTCATAAAGTATGTCACACGTTAAGAGGGAGGAATGAGCCATAGGTAGACCGCTTAACTGAGTCCTCGTCTGAGGGGTAAAGTCTTAGTTAAGCGGTTTACCTATAGACAAACAGTTTTAATTTTAATAATCTCTAGAAGCAAAATATTCGGGACTTACAAGTGTCTCACAAAGACACTTGTAAGTCCCGAATATTTTGCTTCTTGCTCTTGAAAATTCCGTTACTAACAAAACGAATCGTTATTTATTTGACTTCTTTCACACAAGCTGTAGCTGTGACTGTCGTCCAAGATACTTGGATACTGCCCATTAGACTTAGCAGAGCATGTTTTTTTTATAGAAGGACTCATACATGATACCAGATTCAAAGTATTTAGTGCATTATGATTGTACAAAAGATGGTGGGAATACAGGGTTAAAGGAAAAATCTACCTATTTATAGACATTATTCTTTATTTCACTGCTGATAGATTTGACCTATGACCTACTGTAGAAAAGTTAACTTTGTTTTTAAGTACCATTTTCGCTCTAATTTTATTTTTATTTAATTAGTTTCTTCTCTTGGATAAGATAGTTGTATGTAACTTAACTATCGAGTTATAATAATATATATATTTTTTAGTGTGTATACTGTTGGTCGCAGATGACCTTTACAGCGTCACCGGGTTTGAGGACGTCGAAATCCTAAAGGGACCTCAAGCCGGGAATTGGCGAATGCCTCTAGAGGTAGTCCAGGCGGATGGCATTAACCCAAGGGGGTAGTCTCCTCTTCGTCTGTAGCCTCTGGACAGGTTTTTAGCTATCTCATCTCCGCGTAAGTGCGTGACCTGTCCATCTCCATTTCGCTTGGTCTATTCTCTCAAGCACATTTTCACCTTGTGTAACAAGGTAAAACAACTACTGTACTATAGTACAGTAGATCTTTCTGAAACCAGCTTACTTTATAGGGTGACTTTCATCTAACTTGCTACTTAATCTGTCTAAGATAAGTTTTGCAAAAACTTTGTAAATGTTAGACATGAGGCTGACAGGTCTGTAGACGTTAATATCATCTTTTGCACCTTTTTTGTGTAATTTGCAATGTTCCCCACTTTTTTGGTATTTGACATGTATATAACATCTTGTTGAACATATTTTGGAGTACTGGGACAAGATCTTCAATTGTGCCTTTTAAAATTTTGTTTCTGATATTGTCCCAGGGCCAGGAGACTGCTCAGAGTTTTGGTTTCTTATTACCTTCTCTATTTCACTACCTAGAATATTTGGTTCTTGATCTTGTGAAGGTGTGATGATATGTTGACTGTCATAATGTTGCTCGAATGTCATTGTGGATCCTTTTTGGATTAAAGATTTTGATAATATTCAGTGACCAATTCTTTATTTTCTGTTCTTTTTGTTTTACTTCTTACTCCCCTGTTCAATTTTGTATCTATTCTTTCCCTATTTCTTTTAGCTCTTTCAATTCTTTTTTCACTTTTCCTCTTCATCTAAATGCCTCTGCTGTATAGATAATCTTTTGCCTGTCACATCTAATGCTTTCCCTGATCTTCTTTCTGAGTTCTGTGATCGATTTCGCTGAATCATTTCAAAATTGGCTTACTAACATAAGCTTTCTTTATCCTATAAGTTTGACTTTGGCCTCACATAGTTCATATTTGTTACTTTTAATCAAATAGTGTCTAAGGGGGATAGGTACTTCCTCATATCAACTATTTCTCAATTCAATATGTCAGGTTATTTAAATTGGCTTGCTTTTGTTGGATTTTGTTGTATGGGATTAGTGCATTTATCTGTAATTATTCCAACTAGGCTTCAATGTTTTGGCATTAAGAATTGCTCTGATCTGTTGGTGATTTGTATAGAAGTTGAACTAATTAATAACCTCCATGTTTGAAAATGCTTTTGGTTGATTGATGGCTATTTCGTTTAAATAAGAGCCGATTTCCATGTCCACTTCTTTCAAAAGCTTTTTCTTACAAGTTTATACTAATATTGTTAAATATTAAATAAATAAAAATTATATTTTTAAAAATATAATAAATTTTCATTAGTCTGGTATTAGATTTTTCATTATAATATTATTAAGTGATTAATAATATTTTTATAAAATGAAATACTGCAATTTATATAGAAAATTATAAATGTTTCTTTTTTACCTTAATTTGTAGGTAGTTTGTTGTGCATATAATATATCACTATAAAAAGGTTCAGAGCATTGATAATCAACCATAAATAAGAAGAAGTCTTAATCTGAGCTACTTAGGAATATTGAATATAAAAGAACAACACACAACCTTTGGTGTTGACTCTGGCATGATTCTCTAATCTCAAAACTAAATTTAACATCACTCCTCTCTTTTCATCCTGTATAGAGAATGACAAGGATATACTATAGTCAAATTTAATTTTAGGTTTAGAAAATCATGCCAGAATTGACACCAATGGTGTCGATTCTGGGGTGATTCTCTAAAATTAAAGTAAATTTGACAACAGTCTTTCTTTTTCATTCTGTTTAGAGAATAACAAGGATACACTGTTGTAAACTAAAGTTTAGGTTTAGATAATCATGCCTGAATCTGGTGGATCAACATTTTAATGAAATAAAATCTACTTTTACCAGTAATTGCTTTGTGAATGCTAGACATTAGTCCAGTCATTAAGGTTAAATTTTTCTTGGTTTATATTGTTTCCAATTAGCTTTCCTAATTTTAGCTTAATTAGGTATAGAGTTAACATTTTTTAATTAATTGCAACTGTTTCGAAAGTGATATATAAATAGTTAGGAAAACTTTAACATTAAATAATAAATTTTTAATTTCATATTAGGGTAACTTTTTAGTAGACTGTTAGAAATATAACTGTTAATTTTATAAGAATTTGCTTGGCAACAACCATTCATGCATTGTATTTTATTCAAATACCAATCGACTTAAAGATTATAAGCTATAAGAATAAATGAGTTGAATTAATTTCATGCTTCGCTGATATCGGTGCAATGCTTTCACCATCACTATTATTTTCACTGAGAAATTTATAAAAGAATCTCCTTTGAACTATATTCAGAATATAGCAATAGCATTTTTGTGATAATAAGTGCTTCTAAATGGTAGATATCCTTTTTTAGTTTCTTATGAAGTTTTAAGATGTAACAGTATTCTTGAGACTTTAAAACTGATTTTTACTAACTGAAATCATATTTTATAGGTATTTTGTTTTACAAAACCCCTTATACCATCGGTAATTAATATATAATACTAAATCCATATACAGGCTACTTGGATTTAGATGTTTTTATTTAAAGTGTTTGGATTTTTCAGGTCTAGAAATACAATATTTGGAAATTTCACAAGAATATATTTCTAACAGAACACTCACCAGGCTCGGCAGGGTCATTGGGCTCGTCCTTCAGGCGGGCACCGCCACCCTTCTCCTTCTCTTTTATCATACCCCTACGTGCCTTCGCCAACTTGACTAAAAGAAATAAATAAAACATATTACTATGGTATGATATTTTTTGATGTGTAACATCTTTCCTCTCGCTTTCCTGCAATTTGTGAGAGTGATTTCGTGAGATGGGATAGAAGTGTGTAACAGGAAGTCGCGAAAGTGCGCCCTATTTGATTTGATTTTAGAACATAATGTTAAAATGTCTTATTCCTTTTGTAGTAGTTTTTATTTCTTTTTTTACTAATATAAGGTGAGGTTTCAAATGTTACACATCATAAGCGACTACTATAAGGCTTGCTTGTTTTTTTTTAATAAATGCTAGCTTTTAAAGGATAAGACAGATGCTAAAATTATAAAAACTAATCTCAAACTCAAATCGTCACATCATTTCATAATTTATTTATTGATTTAATGACAACATATTTAATGTAATGCAATAATATATTTGATCAAAGGTTTAGTTATATAATAAGTTATGTTATTTGAATTTGGAGATGAAATACTGAGAAAATATACTGAGAACATATTAATCTACAAATTATGTTCACGAATATCATATGAACTTAAACTGAAAATTGAAATGTTTAATAATAATCATAACATAAAACTCTGCAGTTTTATTCAATTTAAGGGAACAACTATATTTATGCAAAAACAAACATGTTCTCGTTATGACACACCAATATTATGAATCAACAACACAATTTCAGGAAACTTAAGTAAATGTGTGACTGTTAAACCAATTTTCTTCTTTTAGGAAGTAATGGGTAATTCAAAAGGATTTATATACATTGCTATATAATAAATGCCTCAAAACCCACAAGCTCTTTTTCTTGCCCGCAGTTAGGAAACTAAAAACAAAATAAATATAAAAATCTATATTTTTTATCAAATAAAAATTTCAGCTGTTCTCTCATTTACATAACAACATATGTTTAAGTGTTATTTTTGTTAAGGTTACATAGAACTTCTTAAAATAACAAACTTAAATTAATCTCAACCATGATCATTGTTGTTTGTAAAAACATTTCTAATGCTTTTTAAGCACATAACCCTGTTTACAGAAACTGAACAATATGCATTAAGTTTGTTATTGTTTACATAGTTGAGAGTAAAGACTTCTGTTTACATTAAATGATTTTCTATAAAAATAAAGAATTAGGATGTACATTTGTTTTGATAAACTGTAGTTGCTGTAAATCTGTAAAAGGCTATTCCATTATGCTGTTTTCGGCTAAATGTGCATGATTTTTGTTCCTACTAATTAAAATAATTTGTGAATGGTCATAGAATCAGAATCGTATTTTGTATACATACAAATACCTAGTATCGGCGTGGTTTTCGTCCAGACAGTGATAATTGGCACATGTCCCGCAAATCCACAGAACGGTACTTCATTACAAGAATGTCATTATGCTGCACCAAATGATCGAGATTATTATAAATAGAGATAAAAAAATCCTTGAAAGCCGCGAGGACGCAGGCAGCGCGTAGTTGTCCCGCCACCACGATCACTCATCACAAACACATAATCTTATCCAGATATTTAATTAAAACGAGAATACCGAGAGAAACCCCATAAAAATTCCTGGCTTATTCTCCATACATAAACAATGAGATAGGACGGGTATAGACGGGCGCGAGCACACGAAGCACACGCTTACTATGGCCGATTTATTGCTTTGGTATCGCTGCTCAGTCGAGGCGACATCGTCAGAGAAAGCGTCTTGTATTATTTTATATCATTCGTGTGATCTAATTAAGGTTTAATGATGGGTATGCAGCAAGAAACAAAAAATCGGGATCGCTGACATTTTTGTTTATGGTACATCGACGATATCCAGAATCCACAAATAGCGAATAAACGTACACGATTACCGCCTCCCGACGGGTTCACTTGCACTTGATAACACAACACACCGTGTTTCTTCACATTTATGTTAGTTTCATCGCAAATTGTACCTGATTTATTTAATTTCTTTTCTTTCTATCAGCATTTAACACAAATTACCACGCACACACAACACAACATACAAATACAGATACTTAAAATATGTGCACACATGGATGTCTAAAGTGATGTGACAATGCGGTAAGAAAGTCAATCGATTAAACTCAATGTTAATGTCATCGATTATCATCATTTGATATTACGTCTAAGGCATGGATTTCATCCAGACACACAACGTTCAAGTAAAATAAAATTGTGCCTCTTAGAGTCTACTACTAAATTTCAAGATTTCGTGGTCCTGATCAGGCAGTATCTGCTTTTACGTTTAAATTATGTACAATTTGTAGCAATGAAGAATACCAATTTTTTTTTTAAATAGGACCTACAATAAACGCTTTAATTAACCGTATACTTTTTATACGACTTATAGTTTTCGAGACATGTTAATTGATTAGTTACAACGTGGCGTCGTTGCCGCTGTGACTTTACAGCAGTAGGTTTACGCGTGCTCTGCTCCTGACCTGTGTTTTGAAATTTTCTTCGGAAAATGACGAAATGTCGATTGTCAATATTAGAATATCGTGTATTGTTCCAAAGTAGTATTGTATTTGTTTGTGGAATTCCTTGCCTGAGCCCTTGTTCCCCGAGCGCTACAATCTAGCGGTCTTCAAAGCAAGAGTGAACCGGTTTTTATTAGGTAAGCGCGCTCCATAGTAGACCATAATATTGCTTTCCATCAGGCGAATTATGGTCAAGCGCTTACCTATTACCGTATAAAAAAAAAGTGTTTAATGCACACAAATATTTGCCTAATATAATTTTTGAACCTAAAAGTCAAGACAAATAGATGCAAAGCATGTAGAGAGCTGCTCAACTCGGAGTACTCGAACCCAAAATTAGTCTGTGTTGTTAGGAAGATAATTTTTCATAGTCAGGTAATCTGCAAAATATGTTATTTGCTTTATATGTATTACAAAGCACCGTGACATGATTTGGGTAGGATGGGACATACGTACTTGATGTTGTTGGTGGTAGATAACCCATGCTTTGACTTTAACATTATAATATCATCGTTGCCGCTACTGTATCCAGCCAATTAAAAAAAAACAATAATTGAAAGTCCATCTAATATATAATAAAAATTTTAGTAAACCGGTCAAGTGCGAGTCGCACTCGCGCACCTAAAGCGCTGTACAAACTTACGGCAACGGCAAGATCTGCTAGTGTTTGTCTAGATTATTTTAATTTTAAGGTTGTTATATAAAAATATATATGTTAAAAGAAGTGCATGTAACAATTATTTCTTTTAATACGGGAAATAGTATTCCTACAAATAGTAATACTGTTTCCTAAATTAAAATAACAATTGTAAAAGACATTTTGTGTGAACTTTTATTTAAAAAAATAGTTAACATTAATTATTATATTTTGATTTTTTAAGGATTTAACTCCTAGATGTTTAAATCTAAAGAAAATTTTACTAAAAACAAACACGCGGTCCAGGTAGCAGACGGGACTCGAACATGGGCAGACTAGCGGGGTTTCTAGTGGATTTTCTTTATATTTAAAACAGTTTTTTATTTTATTTTGATATGACAATATATAATTTAATAAAATTGTATGCGAGGCAATTTGGTAACCTTAGACCGGTGAGCGGTAACTCTATATCATTAAAGTTTACTACTAAGGAACAAAACAAATTCTTTTAGTCTAATTTACAATCATACCAAAAGACAGAACATTAATTAATAAGATTAATATATACAAAATAACGTTTCTTCGAGGATACGCTATCGTCTGATGTAAAGAAAACTATGTTTATCTATTCTTACATCAGAAATAACATAAAAGTTTGATACAAATTATATTGTTATAGGATTGTATTTGTTTCGACTTCGAAACTTTATCCATCCATCCATAAAACAGGGGATAAAAACCCATTAATATATTGTCTGTTTTTGCTAAAATCCTTGTTTTGTCCAATTATATCTTAACTGGACATTACAAACTCAATAGACACTAATTTCATATGAAATTAAGTAATACTGATGTTTGCAAATACTGCAATCAGGAGCATTAAACACCAAAACACCTATTGTGCGAATCTCTCTTCTGAAACGATATATAATACGCCCAGAGAAAATAAAATCTCTAAAAGCTAGAAACTGTAGAAACGTTTTCAAATACTTTAACTTGGTGGCGAGTCACAATATAAATCTTCTACGGACTGCATAGTCCCTAAAATCAGAAATAATAGCAATAGATATATGTAGCTGCTTAAAACTTTATCAGAAACTGCTGAAACTGGCCTTCAGTTTTTGTTATAAACATGCTATCACCTTAGACAAAATGATAGTAAATAAATAATTATTAATTAAGATAAAATTAACGATATCAAAGGGGCCTAATCAAATTACCAGTTTTGATTAATATGCTAATAACATCAAATAACAATTTACTAATCGATTGTATATTCAACTAGGTTAACTCATGAAATAAGAACGTCACTATGGCAATAAAAAACTAAACGCATAATTTTATATGTTCGGATACACTGTTGATCCAAAATTTAAAATCCACAGGCGAAATTATAATATTTTTCAAAAAAAAAGTAGATAATTTACATTCAAATACAAAAAGACTAATTTTAAATAAAATTTTCAGAAGAACAATTGATAAGATAGTTATTTATTTGCAAGTGATGAATCAAAATTATATTATGCAATAATTCAATAAGTCCGATTAAAAATTTAAAGGACTAACTCCAATATATTTATAGAATAAAAATATACAACTGTAACATGAATGTAAAGTAAAATTATCATTAAAATTAAGAAAAATGATTATTTTGCTTTCCTCTAGTCGTGAAGTATAAAAAAAAAACAATTTGTCTATGACTGCTTTACGACGGCGGTGAAGGGAGGAGGGACGATTTCGCTTCGTTGTCGCCCAAATTATTATTTCATTGTGATTTGTGATAAGATCCTCGTAAATGGATTGAAATAAGTGTCGTTGTTTGGTGTTTGGTTTTTGTGTAAGTGTGGATTGGTTGCCTCATTTATTACTAGAATATAAAAACCGATTACATTCCGACCGCTCCCTGCGTATAGTACGTCAGTCGTCAAGTATTTTTCTTTTCATGCCTGTTTGTACTACTTGCACTAAGTAGGGGCCGTAATAGTAAAAGCTGTTGGAAAGTGCATTCATGGGAAATTGTTTGTGTAAAAAAAGTATCTCACGTTTTAATTGATTAAAACGTTCTATGGTGATTGTTTGATCGGTGTGTTTAGTGAGATTGTAGCCATTTTCGGTGAGTGATAAGTTTTCCATTCAGTCGTATTTACGTGTCGATAATGCACGACTAATGTGTATTCCACTTGAATTGGACATTAGTCACAATCGTGGGCCGTGCGAACTTTGACAAATTTTAGAAAGTCTTTCTGTGCTTCTGAGTAAGTAAGGCTTGTGCTTAGAAATCTACATTTCTGTAATTAATCTTGGAAAATAATTTGATGACTGTTTGCATACAGAATTACTCTTGATATCCATGATAATGGTGTCACAGTGTTATAGTAAATATGAATCTTATGATCCAACTCAAATCCCATTTGATTTTTTTATAGCTAAATCTATTTTCATGTTCAGATTACTTGATAGTTGATCTGACTGAATTACCATTTTTTATATGTTATAGAACAATATAATAATAAGAATCATCTTTAATGTATTTCATTTTAGTACATTGTATCACTTCTATGGAATTACAATTTCATATTACAAAATATCAAAATACTTTAGTCACTGCATGACTTTTCACCTCACAAGGCCTCCATTTAGTAGAACACCTCAATTGTTTAACATTTTATATGAATCATGGACCATGTACTTTATCTGTTGTGTGGAAATGTATACATGAATTCTCATGAATAACTAGCAATATATAGTTTGAATGAATAAAAATTGTTATGATTTTCTTAATTTGTTATTTGTTTATGTCTCAAAATAAGGTCTGTTAACTGTAACAATCAGAGAAATCTTTACTTTTTATACCATAACTAACATGTTTATACAATATTTTTTTACTACTATTTCTATTTATTAGAATAATAATTACCTACCAAAAATTAAAAATCTAGGGCTCAATTAGATTAGGTGACACCTTGGCAACCTGGATACATACTATCCTGCTACAGCAGTCACCATTTCAATTTAATTATAATAAATTAGTAATTTTTTTCTTATTTTGGTGAACTTCAATATTAACTATCCAGACAAGATAATAGTAAACAAAATAAGTATATAGGGCATTCGCAAATTTGTGAATATTTTGTTAATTATACTTATTCTAAATTGAGTGAATGCACCATTGAGAATGAAATGACTGTTTGTTGGTTCTGAAATTATTAACAATAGCCAATTAGATATCAGCTTTCTAATTGTGTAGTTCGCAAAAATAAACAAAAGCACATTTGGTATGGTTTTCACATTTATGTGCCATTGTATTATTGTACGTATTTTGAAAATTTGAGATTAAATTGCTCTGACCCTCAACCTGTCTCATTATGAACAATTGAAATATTTTTAATAATGGGTGTCAGTCTTAGAAATTGTTTATTTATAATTATTATTTGACTGTATTTGTCAAACTTTCTGGCAACTCCCCTACTCCATAATTATGAACTTAACCAAAAATTCATCATTACTGTTGGACTTCTATTGTCCCTTTTTCTGGGGCAAAAGTCTCCGCTATGAAAAGATAGAGTAGTGAAAATGGGACATGAGCGACCACACAGACCTTGTGTGGATTTATGACTTCTGTGCTTTAGTAAAACTTGAGATAACAATGTATTTGTTCAGTCATCTTAACAAGACATTGTGAAAGCTGCTTGTTTAATAAATAAATCATATTCAATTTGCAAGTTTCAATTTATTAATAAGTATTTATATAAAACCAAACCCCACAGGAACCAGAGATCATATCAATGCAGTGGCTATATTAAATTTCACAATTTTAAATATACAGAGAACGGGTATCAACCCTGTTATCTCTTCCTTTCTTAAATCTCTGCAACATCCCCAAATTTCCCTGCTTCTTTGAATATTCTACTGTAGACCTTAGTCATGTCATAGTCATAATATTTATTGCTTCATGTTGGTTACATTTAGTTCTTAAATTTATTTATTATCTCTTATCTATTAGACAAGTCCGTCCGTCCGTCTGTGGTGCTGTTTCAGCGGGCAAACCGTAAGAGATAGATAAAGAGAATATTTAAGTTATAAGTTAAGAATAGTCTGATAAGACTACAAACTGGATTTGAGTCGTTTCTCAAATGCTACGTTTAGCACTTCTGGTTTTCGAGAAATCACGAATTTCAAACAAAACCACACAAAATCTCCGAAGTTCTCAATTAATTAAATACATTTTTTTTTGTTTTTTAAATCAGTTTTGGTGAACATTTGGTTCACTGGTTTGCTAGTTTTGATATATATATCCTTCTCTCCCTTATTAGTGATATGGGCTGCTGTTGTCCAAAATAAATAATATTTATTTTATTTTTTTATAACTTTTTTTTATTCTAGAACGCAGACTGAAGTTAGTCTTGGTTTAAACCTAATGTTTTCTCTACCTTCTTTTTAGCTTACCAAAGTGACAGCATCAGTTTTAGTCCAGTGGGTCAATCGCCTATTGGAATTGCTATGGCTATGGAATTGCTATGGCGAAGGTTTTCAAATACCTTATGCTTTTTTATATTTTTGTTACCAATATAAAAGAAAATAAAAGAGAGCAGGGCATTTGAAAACCTACCGCGGTCAGAAATAACAAAATGATAATGAAAGCGATAGCCATAGCAATCCCCCTAGGTGATTGGCCCCATGGCATAACTTTATGTTTTGAAATAAGACAGTCTCTATTCACAAGGAAGTGTTTCCACCTACTTTGAAAAAAAAGTGAATTTGAAGAAAACAATAAAATAAGTACTTAATCATATTGTTTGTTTTAGGTGGCCTCATTTAACCAACTACAGTATTATTAGGAGCATCTCAATGATGTTATTTTTTAATAAGTACATCAGATACTAACTAAACCCTTCCTAGAAGAGACATGAGAAGTGCACCACCACAAAGATGGATAGTGTGAAGAAAATACATTCAGGAACTCTGTATCGGTAAGTGATATCTATAGTTTCTTTAAATACAATTTATTTTAGTCAAATAAACTACCCTGTTTTGTTCTTGGTGGAACGGTGCCCATTATACTTACAACATTGGCACATGGATAGTTAACTTTTAATTAGAAAAGACCCACGTCGGGGGTTACCAGGCGTTTTTCTGAGTGAGTGGCCCAGGCCATTCAAATTGTTTAGAGTCTGCACCCCAACCCGCCGTTTCTATCGCCAAATGCACAAAAATTATGACCTCAAGTATTTGATTATAAAGTACTTACCTTGAATTCTCATTTGTCACATGTGGAAGTTGTGACATATTCCTTTTTTAAAATTGAATTCAAAAATTCTATATTATTTTCGATAGAACCAGTAATGGTAATGAGATGATGTGAGCACATCAGTTCAGGTTAAATTCCATAAGTGAACAGAATTCATAGAGAAGTTATAGGAAGGAGAGACAGCAAATTGGGGTGGAACTGCTAGAGTTAGGTCAAAAGACAAGGAAAGAGTACTTTAGTCTTTGAAATAGGGTGGAGAAGTAGGCAGAAAAAATACAAGAATACATTTTTAGATCAATGCTGCACATGAAGGCATCAAGACTGGAAACAATATGCTTGTAGGTATGTTTTTGTCCTTTACTGTAATGTAATCATTAAAACAACTCTAGTAGGGTTTATAATCGAATCGAAACTTGCCTTTATGATCGTAAACAGGCTATTTCAATCAGTTTGATCAAATAGAAATTCATATTCTTCATACCAATTGATAACTCATTTTGATCAAGTTTACACACATATCCATGCCAATTTGATCAAACTGATTGAACTAGCTTGTATGATCAAATTATTTGGGCCATAATTCACATTGATTGATCCCACAATGACATAAATTTCGTAATTATTTATATTAGCATCACAATTTGGATATTGTAGCTATATCGTATGCTATGATTTCCTAAATCTTGCATACACCATACGGTTCTCTATATATCTCGCCAGGCGCATCTCCAGAATACCAACTAGGCCAGACAATCCCCATCTCGGACGTCGCGCCGTAAGCGGCATTTCAATAGACGCCAAGCGTATTCAACTCACTGTCGGAAGTACGGGAAGTAGCCCCTAGTTTGAATCCTCGAACGCCTGAAACTAGAAGTTATATACGCAGTTAACACCTAAATCGTACACAATTAGGAAGTTTTAATTAACCACTCATTAAAACTTGGTGTTGTGCTAGTGTGCTAAGTTTTTGACCTTACGGCTATTATGTATGTTTATTGTACATCCGAGAGAGGGTTTAGCGACTCGATTAGAGCTATTGGAGCCCCCTTGGGAAGTAAGGCTGCTTATCCATAGAAGCGGATCTGAGCAGTCTAAAGAAATACAAAAAACAATAAATAAATATTTTCATAATTTTTATTTTTAATATCTGTATGTATTCTGATGCAATGCCATCGGTTAATTTCTTTAAGATTGTTCAGAGGCCCACCCAAGCACGAATTTTGACAGCTCCGTAATCGTATTAGCTACGTCATATTTTGTATGGAAAGAGCCAGTTTGTTATTACGTCCGCTAGGGGCGCTGTTTAGTTTTTATAGAAACTTTCACGATGCGATTGGAATACGGAGCTGTCAAAATTCATGCTTGGCCCTCAGCTCCGCTTCTGTGGACACGCAGCCTAACCTTCGCCTCGTTGAAGACTGCAGACAACTAACACAAGTCTTTATGGCCGCACTCAGAGACGCCACTTAATTAAATTTTTGTGAAGGCTATGTGCAAGGCAGCACAGCATAGGTACTATTGCTATTACAAGGAAAGTTTCTAAATGCAGCCTTTAATTTTGTGTTTCTTCAGTGCTTTATTAATTAATGTACGATTTAATTTCAAGATATCATTCATTTTAATACATAATTTTTGATTAATTTTCCTTTTTTAAGCAAGATTATTTTCATAAACAAAATATTCTCAATTTCCCATTTATCCCGTTATCCCTAACGTGTCGAGAAATTTGAGTTTTTTTTTCGAGTTTTCGTCACAATAACTAGGATTGGTGTATATTACACGTTAGGTACGTACCTACGCTCTGTGATGAAAATGAGTTTGTTTTAAATTTTCATCATTTTTTTCTATGTATAAAAGCCCTTTGTTATAAGGTTGTGTTTACATATGCCAATATTTTTTCTTTTACCGTTAATTGACTATAGATGTAATTAGACTGTTCGAAAAAAAAATATATGGAGTAAGAAGTACCTATTTAAAATAGCCCGCCCGCGTTTTGCTTCGATCTAGACTATAGTTTTTGATATAAAAGTAGTCTATGACACTCACAAATAATGCGGCTTTCTATAGGTCAAAGAATTTTCAAAATCGATTCAGAAGATCTTGAGATTATCTCTACAACCTCACAGACAAACTTTAACTCTTTATAATATTAGTATAGATAAATGCCGCATATTATTGGTGGGTGGTAGAAGGCTTGAATGTAGACATGATACCAATATTATTATACTAAAACTTATTTACTTCTAACACTTAGATATGATATCCGTTACAATTTGAACGCAATGACTTGCGTTGTTTTGCGGTTTACGTTGGTGTCTCGAACAATATTAACTGCTTGTTCATGCAGTCCGAGAAAACAATGAATACAATGCATTAAATTTAAATAAATATAATTTTCTCTTATAAACAACGTTTTTATAGTTTTCACCAATGAGCTTTAGTTTTAAAGATCTATTTCGATGAGGTTTGAGCACTCCTAGATTCAGATTTAGGCATCTAACTTATTTCACTTACGCCGGCATTTCACTTGGCTATTTGTATTTGTTATTTGTCAAATAAACAACAGTCTCGGTACGATATGGACAACCTGCTGTCAAAATGGCGAACAGCAAATACGAATAGACAAGTGCCGCTATTAACGATGGCTTTACAAAATATATATTGTTTTAAACTTTCATGGTCACTAACATTATAGCTATTAACGGGATTGTTTACAAAATATATTCAATGCTTTTCCACTACGATTTTGGCAGATTACGCAATACCATTGCTTTGTCGAATTAATGTACGCTTTGAGAAATTACAAAACTTAATAACTTTACCACGTTATCATCACTTAAAATGTACTTTGTGTGTAATAACGAGGTCGAGACGAGTAGTGGGTGTGATAAGGATTTCCAAATGTTCTTACGTGAATATATATAGGTATGTTATTGAATCGAGCTAGGTACATTTCGGCCCGCTCTATTAACTATGATTTTATCAAAGAAATACACATAGTTCTTTATTAAAAAATAAAATAAGCACAATATTTTATGAAGGAAGCCTAAACAGAAATCAGAACTTTTGCTTTCTGGACGACGCTCTACTTACTAAACTGGCAGATTTTTTTTTCTTGACAAGTTCTAAGCTAACGTCTCTTCATTGACGAAATAAAATTGCACTCAAAATTAAGAAATAGACCGGCAATGATGGCGTTATTTCTAACAGGTTACACAGGAATTTATTTATAAAACCCTTCATAGACCAAGAGCTACTGAAAACTCCGATTAACGGTCTGTCTTGCCAGGCGAGGGGAAAGATGCTGCGGCAGTGCAAGTAAGAGTCGTAGTATGAAAACTTACGGTATATTATTGATGCAAATTAAATGATGTGAAAATAAAAGTTATCGGTAAAATAATTTTTATTATTATAAGTCTTTAAATTAATTAATAAATCCTCATCATCATCACTCTCTTCATTATCATAATGTGATTATTCGTTGCTGATTTCATCCATTTTGATTTCCAAAAAATATTTTACCCTTAACTTTACTTTCACATCATTTCATTTGCATAATATACCGTAAGTTTTCATACTACGACTCTTACTTGCACTGCCGCAGCATCTTTCTCCTCGCCTGGCAAGGACTTGTGCTAGCCAGAACCGCCTGGCATTCTACCTACCTACTTTAAATCGCTTAAACAAACACATATATAAATTTCAACTTTACAGAATAAAGTTTATTTTAATGTATATATTACACACCTTTCAGTTCACCTGGCGGGTATTTGTGCTCATCGTAAACGACTGGCATTTTTTTTTTAATTTAATCATAAACTTAATTGTATGAAAAGGACATTGCTCGTTCCCCATACATTGAATGCCCTATAACGCCCAGCAATGAGAAAATGCTAGTTGTGTTCGGAATCATTCATAAACTCTAATTAAGCATTTGTTGAGATACAGACAACTTGAGGAACAGTGGCCTACTACAGAATGTATTAGATTTTGAGGTTATAATTATTATACTTAATCGTAAAAAGGTAATTATTACACTTTATATATTCTGAATAGATTTAGTTTTTACCTCTATGTAAGCACTGAAATAACATGCATTAAATGAACATAAAATGCAATTAATAATAAAAATAATAAATACTTATATTCATATTGATTTATGAGTGTTGTCAGTTGGCACCTATGATACCTATACCTACCTGTAGTAGGTAATAATAGATTTCTTTTCAAATGAAATGTTCAGTCTTTCCATTTACCTGTTTCTATATTTTACTATCGGTAATTAGGTATGTACCTGGTTATCAATATGATTTTCATAAAAATAAACAGATATTACATGGGATGGGAGTATAAACTATATTTACATAATTTCAGAAATAATCTTTTTATAAATATAATATAAGTACTAGTAATAACTATTATTGACTAAGGTACCTAGTTCTATTTTTATGTTGATAAATACCTATGGTCGCCTATATTGCATTCATTAAGGTAAACAATCTTGACACAACTTTTTAACAGAATCACCCGTTTAATAATAAAATATTAACGAAGCCAATAAACTATTAAAATAAATCGTTATTATAGACTGAAACCTATTGAATCTAGTTATCAGTTGATTTTTAATGCTGTATTTTCAATAAAAAGGAGTGCAAAGTTGGATGAACAGACTAGTATCTAGTAACAGAACTTTTATTTTTTATTTTCATAAACATATTGTCC